TTGTCTCAGAATCTCCTTTTAACCTATGTAGAATTCATGCCTGTTAAAACCCACATGACAGGTTCTGTATGGAAGTGTCCATTTCATGGTAACAAAAACGCCCAGATGTAAGTTCCTCATCTGTCTGCTGCAGCCCGTGTGTTTCTGGTAACTTTAGCATGTTTGCCATTAATGAAGGAAAAACCACTGACCTGATGGGCTAAACGGAATGTGTTTGTGTGCTTGGAAATACGTCGGGTTGACAGGGAGGAACACCAAAGCAGCCGGGGGCTCACAGTCAGCCGCTGTTTTCTCACAGTTCCTCCTCTGTACCTAAGGGTAGGAGAGTTCTTCATCTGCCGAGAAGAAAATTGTAGGTGCTGCAAGTTGCTTTGTTATTAAGCTGGTGGGATAGCTCCCAGGACTGCGGGCATCCTGTCAGCTCTGGGGGCTGCTGTGCTGGCAGTGCACCTTTGTGGTTTGGCACCTGGCTGAGCTGGCACAGCTCCGGTGACCGCCGCGCTGTGCTCCCTGGCAGAGGCGATGCGCTAGCGCCGTGTTTCCGAGCAGTGCTCCTTAGCGTTGTTCCGGCCCAGAGCCGTGGGAAGCACAGTGGAGAGGTGAGAGGAGATGGACCTGCCCTCCAGTTTTTGTCTGGTGCAGCCAACCAGGTGCTGAGACTGAGGGGACTTCAGTGGCGCAGCTGCTTGACCAAATGTGGCAGCTCCCTCCCAGACAGCAGCTAAGCACCCGTGCCGCTGTACGCTCACTTCCCACCCCGCTCTGGCAGGATGGGAGATAATCACAAGAGCAAAAGGAGAAAAACTTGTCGGTCACGATAAAGGTAGTTCAATGAGCAAAGCCCTGTGTGCAAGAAAAGCAGTGAGCAACTTATTTAATTCCTTGTGGCAGGCAGATGTCCAGCTGCTTCCTGGAAAGCAGGGCCTGGGCACGAGTAATGGTTACGTAGTGGTGGTTATGGAGTTTGTCTTCCTCTTCTCCTTTTGTTTCTGAGCACCACGTCGTCTTGTATGGCACGCCCCTTGGTCAGCCCGGGTCGGCTGTCCTGGCTGTGCCCGCTCCAGGTGCCTGCCCAGCTCTGGCCCATTGCTGGAGGCAGAGTGGGGAACAGAATTACCCTTCAGCTCTGTGCTCAGCAGTAGCTAAAGGGCTGCTGTTTTATCAACACTTTTGGCAAATCCAAAACACGGCACCACATGGGCTGCTGTGAAGAATGTTAACTGCATCCCAGCAGAATGTTAACTGCATCCCAGCAGAATGTTAACTGCATCCCAGCCAGATGCAGCACACCAAGTACTCACGGACGACAACTGAGGGCGGTTACTGAGCAGTTCTGACAGCACGAGAATCCGCAGGGATCCAGCTGGGCTGGATTGCAGTTGGGAAGTGATAGGTCTCTTGACCCTAATCCGGTTCAAGTCGTACCCTTGTTAGCATGAGTTTTATTGTGACATCCTGCCTGTCACAAGGCTCCCTTTGTATCGAGTGGTAAATAATAATCTAATTTACTGCCTTCAACTACTGAGGCTGGTGGGTGCTGGTAAAACAGCTGCCGTGTGAACAGCAGCACTGTGCTTGTGAAATCAGTGAGCGATGTCTCGTCTGCTTGAGTTCCCCTGCAAAGTGACACTTGGAAATCGTCCCACTCCCGTGAGCCCCCCCTGCAGCGCTGCTCCCAGCACAGGGACCTGCTGCAGCGGGCCAGAGGCTGGAGCCCCTCTGCTGGGAGCTGGGGGAGCTGGGGGTGCTCAGCCTAAGGGGGAATGGCTCCAAACTAAGAGAGGGAGATTTAGGTCAGGTAGAAGGAAGCGATTCTTCACCATGAGGGCGGTGAGGCCCTGGCTGCCCAGAGGAGCTGTGGGTGCCCCGTCCCTGGCAGTGCCCAAGGCCAGGCTGGATGGGGCTGGGGGCAGCCTGGGCTGGGGGCTGGGGGCCCTGCCCATGGCAGGGGGTGGCACTGGGGGGGCTTTGAGGTCCCTTCCAACCCAGCCCATGCCATGGTTCTATGAAATAGCACTACAGGGTTTCTGAGTCCCTCAGTGGTTCCTGACCAAATTTGCTTAATTTACTGCTTTAAAAACATTCTGTTCTAATTAGCACTTGTCTGCTTTCTGACTCGTATATCACTGTTTGCAATAAAGACTTTGCAAGTGGCATTGATAAACAATGCTGTTTGATACGTGAGCCAAAATGGGATTCAGTTCGTTCTCCCAGAACTGAGCTGGCTTTGGAGAGCTAGCAGGAATGAAAAATTATAAAAATAAATAGACAGGGTTTGCAATGGCACAGAGGCAAAATAGATCAAACAAGAAAGCTTTTTTTTGTGTTTTTAAACAACTTCTCTGTCAATGCAGTCTAAGTTTGAAAGGAGTATTGGGCTTTTCCAGGCAAAGCTGGGCTCCGCGCGCTCAGTGGTTGTTGAGGTGTTCTAGCTCCAGCCCTGTGCCATTGAAGCCCTCTGGTGACTCCACGACACGAAGCCCCTGGGTGTGCAGTCCCAGCACACAGCTTGTGTCTGAACCAGCTGTGGGTGGTTCACCAACTGGTTCCTTCAACCTGCCCTGCGCTCCTACCCTGTCACTGCCTGCGTTTCCCTGCTCCTGTGGTGACGCAGGTCGGGTTCTAAGCCCCGAGCAGCGGCTGCTGACCTCAGCAGCAGCTTATTGCATCAGAGCTTATGTGGCATATCTGTATGTGGGGAAGATAAACCTTTAATCCTTCTTGTACACCCAGGTACAAGTGTGAACAGCTGCACCTGCAGTTAGTGGCACCGCTTTGCCCTTGACAACAGCTGTGAAAAGTTAATTGAGGGGGACACAGTACGAGCAGGGGATGTGCGAGGAGCTGGCATTTGCACGCTGACGTGAAGGAAGACTTTTGTGGCTGTCCAGGGTGATCGTGGCCTGCCTTTGATGGCAGACAGGGCTGTCTTTGTCAGTGGTACCAGCACTTCAGGTCCATAGTGCTTCTGTGAGATGTTCCCCACTTCGTGGGAAGGTTTTCCTGCTTGGCCTTTTATTTGAAGAGAACACAAAGTTTCCTGCTTTTTCCCTTTGAACGGTTTTACATGTGCTAAACTAGCCCACAGGGAACACTGGTGAAAACTAGGCCAGGACTGAAGCAAGTTTATGAAGGCCAGGAGGCCGTGAGCCTCTGCTCATCTCCCACCCGCAAGCTCCAGCTGCTCTGGCACGAGGCACGCCGGTGCCCTCTCAGCTCCTGGTTGCAGGGGAAGTTAAGCCCAAGCCCCTGGCAGCAGCCTAGAAAGCAATTGCTGTGGGGGTGCTCAGGCCCCCTAGAGCCCTGTCCCCCACCAAGCGGCCATCAGTCTGCTCTGACCTCTGCGGGGACACGGGCTGGAATTTGCGTGCCAACTGGAGCGCTGTTAGTGCTGAGAGCAATGTGTACATGAGAACAGCGATAAACGGTGGGTGCGAGGAAAGAAAGAAAGGAAAAAAAAAAAAGTGGGGAAAATAGCTTTGGAGTTTGAAAGATCAATCGTGGTGCCATGAGCTGTAAGGAACCACCTCAAGGGAGATCTGTGGCTGGCTTCGTTGTGTTCACTTGTGTACACGCCGTCCTGTTGTCTCTGAAAAGTGTAAACCAGGCAATGTCTAACCCAGGGGCTGACTGGCAAAAAGAACATTTCGAGCACAACCGAGTGCATCAAGTGGGGAGGTAGAGACATTAGGATGGCTCCAACATCGGGGGCTCCAACAACAGCTTCTCCTGCAGCTCTAATGCCCACTATGCAGAATCCAACTCTTGCAGTTTCAGGGAGACTGAAGATCTCTGTCACCCAGAATATGAGGTCAAATGTTGGCTTCAGCTCAGAGACTTCCTTCTGTGCCTTGCCCACAACCTTTCTCAGCACCAGTGCAGAATGATACCTGTCCAGGATGGATGGGCGAGGTTATTTTGTTGGTGCTACCGATGTAATTGGTGTGATGCAAAGCACATCAGGCCAGGGACGGAGGAGGTGATACAACTGGAAGCTCACCAGCAGGATCAGTGTTTAACTGTGTTCTTCACACCTGCCCAGTCAAGTCTTGCAGCAGAGAAAGCAGATGGCTGAGAGCACATGGGAGAAGGGTTGATGGTCATGCTGCCTGAGAGTACCCCGTCACCAGCCTCCTCCTGGGAGCGGCAGCTGTGATGGAGCTGGCTCTGCAGGGCCGCTACCTGGTGTCACTGCTTTCCTCTTGCAAGGACAGGCCTCTGTCTCTGGTGGACCACACCAAACCTGCCCACCCCAGCACCCTCTACAGCCCCCACACTTGTGGTCATGGGGTTTTCAGTCACAGGATTCACTCCTGCTCCCAGGGGGCAGAGAAGAGGTCTGTTTGTTGGCAAGAGCTGAAGGCTCAGCCTGGGAGCTTTGAGCAAGCACAGCCCTGAGCAGGATCCTGTGTGCTTTGCCCTTCCCTCTGACCTGGTGGTGATGTGTCCTGTTTCCAACATCCCTCTGAGGGGACCTGAGGCATGTCCAACTGGCGGGCAGCTCAGCCCTGGAGTGCCCCTGGGGGTGGGCTGCGTGCTCGGTGGGGCGAGTGCCTCCCCTGGGCGATGGCAGCACGAGCTGTGGGCACCCATGGGGTGCGGTGACCACCTAGGGCACGGGGCTGCCCCGAGTCCTCGCTGCCTGGGGAGCGGTGCAGCCATGCCGAGGAGAGAGGCTGTGCAGGTGGAGCTGCCTCCTGGTTTGGGCCCCCCATCGACCAGTGTGCTGCAGAGTTCCTCTTTATGTATAATGACCATGAACCATGGTCTGCAACAATGACAGTGCAGGCCAGAAACAGGTGTCACCTTAATACCTTCCCAAGAAAGCCAATTACCCCTGGATGATTATGATTAATAATTCTCTAAGCCCTAATCGTGCTGACACCAATGCCTGCAGCTTACCCCAGGGGGCACTTTATAAGGGGTGCCCCGCAGAGGTGAGCGTAGCCACTTCTCCCCGGGGTAACGGCGAAGGCCGAGAGGTGGCGGGAGCCCAGCTTCAGAGGCAATTCCCCCACGCACACAAAAAAAAACTGAGTAAGAGCAAAAGGCACCTCACCAACCGCAACCATGAACGGGACAGAAGGCCAAGACTTCTACGTGCCCATGTCCAACAAGACCGGGGTGGTGCGGAGCCCCTTCGAGTACCCCCAGTACTACCTGGCTGAGCCCTGGAAGTTCTCGGCGCTGGCTGCCTACATGTTCATGCTGATCCTGCTCGGCTTCCCCATCAACTTCCTCACGCTGTATGTCACCATCCAGCACAAGAAGCTCCGGACACCTCTAAACTACATCCTCCTGAACCTGGCAGTCGCCGACCTCTTCATGGTGTTTGGAGGCTTCACGACCACCATGTACACTTCGATGAATGGGTACTTTGTCTTTGGAGTAACAGGGTGCTACATCGAAGGCTTCTTTGCTACACTGGGTGGTGAGTTTTCCAAATATTCAAAAATCTTCTGCCAGAAATTGCTCCAGATTTTAGGAAAGGGTGGGAGGATGCCCAGATGCTCTTGGAAAAACATGTGGTATCTGGAAGGTACTCGGTCTGCCGCTGGTGTGGGCTGAGGCAGTTGCAGTGCTGGGAGGTGGGAGGTGAAGAAAGTGACAAATTACACTTTTTAAAAAAAAAAAAAGAACTTGTTTTGGTAGCCACCTGCTCAGCATCCTAAGAACAACAACGTAGCAATGAAAAGTAACCAATAGCAGATTTTGCTGGATTTGCACATCTTTTTGGCTTGCTCTCTGGCTGGAGATGTGGCAGTTTGTTCTTCCCGCTTGGCGGGGCTGAGCCTGGTGCTCGCTCTGACGCGGCGCCCGGTGGCGCAGGCTGGCCAAGCTGTCTCTGCTCCTCTGCCAGCCCGGCTTTGACAGAAACAGATGTTAATCAGAAATCGTGTGTCTGAAAACGCCCTCCTCTGTTCAGCTCAGCCCTCAGCCACAAGCGAGGCACCGTTTTGCTGGTTCGGGGCTCCTGGCACAAGCTGCTGGGAAGCTGTGGGTAGGAGTAGGACCCCGGTGTGACGGGCACCCCGAGCGGGGCCGTGGGGCCATGGGTGTGGGGGCAGTCCGGGCAGGGAATGGGGCTTGGCGATGGACCCTGACACACAGAGCACGGCGGTGACTGCGGGGGCAGCACTGCAGTGTGAAGGTGCCTTCTGATGCCTTCCCACCGTGTCAGCACTTAGCCCATGTTCGTTGCTGGTTCTGAACCCGGCTGGGGATTTACCTGCTCTTAGGGGTCCTCCTTGGGAACATGAAAGGTCAGAGGAGGCCCCGTGCTGCCTTCAGTAGCTTTTCTCCCAGCCCCCAAAGGCCCATTATCTGCATCCCTCTCTCCCTGCTTCAGGTGAAATTGCGCTCTGGTCCCTGGTCGTGCTGGCTATCGAGCGGTACGTGGTGGTCTGCAAGCCCATGAGCAACTTCCGCTTCGGGGAGAACCACGCCATCATGGGGGTCGTCTTCACCTGGATCATGGCCCTGGCGTGCGCGGCTCCCCCGCTCTTCGGCTGGTCACGGTAGGCAGGGTGCCATCTGGCGCGGGGCCTCAGCTGGCATCTGTGGGATGCCAACCCCCAGTGTCACCTCGCAGGTACATCCCCGAGGGCATGCAGTGCTCGTGCGGGATTGACTACTACACGCTGAAGCCTGAGGTCAACAACGAATCTTTCGTCATCTACATGTTTGTGGTTCACTTCACGATCCCGCTGATGGTCATATTCTTCTGCTACGGGAACCTGGTCTGCACCGTGAAGGAGGTGGGTGCCTGCCGGTGAGGCTGCTGCGAGGGGCCGCGCCACGCTCCGCACAGGTGGCAGGAAGGACGGGGTCGGGCCCCCTGCGGGGAGCACCGCAAGCTCCGGCCGTGCAGCCCAACTACCCCAAACCCTGACCCCACGCCCCTTGCGGGCCGAACCCTCCCCCACATCCACCACCTCCCCGTTCCCTCTGCCCGCAGGCTGCCGCCCAGCAGCAGGAGTCTGCCACCACCCAGAAGGCAGAGAAGGAAGTGACCCGCATGGTCATCATCATGGTCATCGCCTTCCTGATCTGCTGGGTCCCCTACGCCAGCGTCGCTTTCTACATCTTCACCAACCAGGGCTCAGACTTCGGGCCCATCTTCATGACCATCCCGGCATTCTTTGCCAAGAGCTCTGCCATCTATAACCCCGTGATTTACATTGTAATGAACAAACAGGTAAGTGCCGCGTGCCAGGTGACTTCCTTTGTCGTGTTTGGCTTCATAGCAGCCTGGGGAGAGCCACCAGACCTCCACCGCACCAGTGAGCTGCGAGGGCTTTGCTCCCAGGTAACCTTGTGCCTGTGTGCAGGAGGGTGGTGACAGTGCAACTCACCCCTTCGCACAGCACAGATCTTGCAAATGCAAACCCATGCACCCGAACGAGGCTCAGGTTGTCCCAGTGGAGGATCTGGGGCTGCGCTGCCCCAGCCCCGGGCAGCAGGAAGGAGACTTCACCCTGCACGGTGCAGCCAGCGCTGCCGTGCCAGTGGGTTCCACACAGCCCCCTGCAACAGCCCCCAGGAGCCTGTGTCTCTGGGAGATGCTCCCGCTGTGACGGCCCCACCGCCGGACAGAGCCTGGGCACCAAAGCCTGGGCAGAGCCTGCGGCACTGCTGGGGCTCGCTCGTGCCCTCCCCCTGGCTCTGCCCTAGGCGGCACAGAGGGATCCAGCACAGAGGCAACCCCCAGCGGCCACCTGCCCTCACCCGATGTCTCCCTTCTCTTCCAGTTCCGTAACTGCATGATCACAACCCTCTGCTGCGGCAAGAATCCGCTGGGTGACGAGGACACATCTGCTGGCAAGACAGAGACCTCCTCCGTCTCCACCAGCCAGGTCTCCCCCGCGTAGGTCCCGCCGGAGCGGCCGGCCCTCAGGGTGTGCGTCGCCGCCCTGCCAGCATGAACCTAGTCCCACCACTGCCATCGCCTGCCCCCGCTTCACCACGGCCCTGCAGGGCGGGCTTCTCTCTCCTGACGATAGGAACCCTGGGAACAAGGCTGTGAATGTGTACACATGTTTTGTAATTAAAATGCAAAGGCTTAGCTCCTCCGCTGGCGTAAATCCGTGCTTTTCTGTTGATTTGCTGAGAGCTCACACCTGTCTGCACCGTGCAGGCCACTCGCTCTGACATCCCCCTCATGTGCACGCATGCCCTGCACCACTGGGTGCGAACCTCGGGCCACGGCAGAGCCACTGCTACCTCCCTCACCGCGGCCTTGTACAAGGGCCCCGGTGGGGCCGGGGCTGAGCCCCCTCGGCTCTGCCGCTGGGACAGAGCCCAACAGACACTGGCAGCAGCTGGGCCCCGCTGCGCCGTGCTGGGGCCGCTGCTGGGTGCTCCAGGCCCAGCCCTGCCCCACCACCGTGTTCCAGAAGATCCGGGAGGCGCCGTGACGCCTCTGGGGAGATGGGGGTGTTCTGGTGCACATGGGCTCCTCCGTGCCGCAGAGGTGACAGTGCAGACCCCACACAGCACGGCACAGCACGGCACAGCACGGCACAGCTGCGGTTGGGTGTGCTCGCGGAGAGCTGGGTGCTCACCTCCACAGGCGCCCAGCATCACGACGTGCACTCAGTGTTTGCCCCTCTTGATGCCTCCCCCAGCAGGAAGCTGCTCCCCCTTCCCCTCGCAGGCCTTCCCTCGTCAGACACCCGCAGGCCCTCCTGCAGCCCGGGGCCATGCCCCGAGCTCCTCCAGGTCCTCCCGTACCTCCCTGCCTCAGCTGCAACCCAGCTTGGCATCGGCCCAAGTAGGAGGTTTTGGCCAGTGCTTGTGCTTTTGAGGATTGATCGGTGCATCGCTAAGCTTCCCTCCGCGCTGTAGCAGGCAAGACATGGGAGCATATGGCTCAGAGCCGCCGACATATGTTTTAAGCACTACAAGATGGCATATTGCAATTGTAGCAGTGTTCTTCATTTTTATTTTTAGCTCAGTTATACAAATAAGATGTTTTTCTCGCTGTTCAGTGTTATCAACATTTGAAACTATTTTTGTACATTATTATCCTCTCTGATTTCTAATCCTATGCAGCTTTGCAAGGTCTAATAGGGAACATAGAGAACCCATGCAAGTTAAACCTTTAATAAAGAGCAATTTGCAAGTACAATTCTCTCATTATTTTTTTTTATCGATACTTCTGCATATTCAGTGAAATCTGAAGATTAGCAGTTTATGAATAATTCAGTGTTTAGGCTGATGCCTGATTCATGTATTTCAAACCTGGGAGCTGGTTTTGGAGGGAAGAGGAGGAAGGGTTTGGTGTTTGTTTGCTGCCTGACAAGGCAGTCTCCATAGGAGCCGTGTGGTGCTTGGCACCACGGCTCTCCCAGCCCACAGGCTGTCGCCCCACATCGCGCCCAGCCCTACGGCTCCTGCTGCTGGGGCCAGCGAGAGCCTGGGGCCCCTCTGCCCGCCCGATGGGTGCGGTGGGCATCACGGAGATGCCCCTGCCAGAGAGGTGATGGTCAGATCTGGGAGGAGAAGGTGGTTGTAGGAAGCGAACGCAGCCCTGCTGCGGTGCAGGACCCTGTGGCCTTCCGCCACCCCCATGGCCTCCTTCCTGGGGAATTCAGAAATTGACTGAAAATGGATGAGGGAAAGGGTTAGCCGTGCTGGTCTGGGAAGAGCCAGGCACATGGGACTTGGGCACAGGCCTTTTCCAGAACCCTGCTCCAGGCCAGGCTCCTGCTGGCGCCTCAGTCCGCTGCCAGAACCCAGCCCCAGGCTCAGCAGGTGGGTGCAGCCCTCAATGAAGGAGGTCTGTCTGGGCTGAGTTTTGATGTTCATTGGTGCAGTAGCACGTCTGCTGCATCAGGACATGAACCCACGCTGCTGACACATGATCCCAGTCCTTCCACAAGTTTGCAGCTCCCCAGGGACTTTCACAGACGACACACACAAAAAGCTCCTGACTTTTTTGTAAGGAGCAAGGGACCGACACAGCATGCTCTGGAGATACACAGCGGTCTCCAGGGTGAAGATATTCATGCTGTTCCTGCACCGAAGAGCTGTTTTAGTGAATTAGACACGCTCACCCCATGAGCACATGCAGAACAGAAAGTAGCACAAATGTCTCACCCCACTGAAACAGCAGGGAAAATCACAGTAATCACAGGATGAATTAACTTAAACACAGCCATGACACAGAAGTGCCCTGGGAGCCTTGGGGACCTGGATGGTCAAAGGTTCAGCTTGTCCCTTGCCCATGGGACAATGCTCTCCCCAGCGCAGTTGCTGTGCCAAGAGCTGGCATGAAGGAGACATGGAGGGGACACAGGGCTGCCCCTGCATAGGGCTGGGTGCTCTCTCCCCTGAACACAGCAGGATGTGGTGAGCATGGGCACGTGGCATCCCACTCATGACCACACACCTGGGGCTACTGCAGGAGGGTTGCTCCTCCTGCTTTAGCCAGCTAACAAATTAAGTCTTAATTTTCCTCCTCTCGTTTGGGGGTTAATTTGGGGGTTAATTCTCCCTCCCATTACTGGGCTCCCTGTGCTGTGCAGCCCCTGCTTCCCTGCAGGGCTGTTGTGCACAAAGGGCCCCAGCAGACATGCCGGGTTCCCCATCCAGCCCATGGTGTGTGCTGCCAGTACACGGCCATCCCACCCCCCAGCAGTGGGGTGGGTGCCTTTGCACTGCGTGGTCACAGCCTTCACCCTGCGAGCCCCCCGTCTCTCATCCCTCTCCAAAACATCTGCTGAGACATGGCCCTTCACCTGCCAGCCTCTCACAAAGATCTGGGCATGAGTACTTGGCCTCACAGCCACCTGCTCCCCCTGGGCGGGGACCAGAGCAGTTAGCAGCTGCCAACCAGACCCTGCAGTTATGGTGCTAATCAGATAAATTAGCTGGAAGTGAGGTAAACCTGTGACCAGGGTCAGTAGTGCTGTAAACAGAGCTGGGACTGCTGGGCCTGAGGCTTTGGGCTGTTGCATACTGTCATGGAGCCTCAGACACGTAAGGGATCTTTGGGTGCTGCAGGGCTTGGGCACTGTTGGCTCTGGCTGCTGCAAGGCTGTGGAGATGAGCATGGTGATGTCTGTCTGCTTTCGGGGGACTTGCAGGCCTTGGGGCTGTGAGCACTTTCATCTCATGATGCCTCTCTTGCTTCCCTCACAGATAAAGCTGCTGGTGCTGCCCGGTTGTCTAGTCAGATTGCTCGTGGCCGGCGGCATCCGCCGACACTGAACATGGTTATTGAGGCGCTGCGGGCACAGGATGGGACGAAGGGTGCCTCCGTCGTCACCATCAAACGCTTCATCCTGGCCAAGTACCCTGCCGTGGACCCTGTGCGCCTCAAATACCTGCTGAAGCAGGCGTTGGCCAAGGGGCTGAGCCGTGGGGACCTGGTGCGGCCCCATAACTCCTCTGCCCTGGGGGCCACTGGCCGCTTCAAGGTGAGTGGGGGCTGCTGGGCCCCAAGCTGCAGGGTTGGGGCTGAGGTGCTGCCCAACCCCACTGCTGTTCCTTGCACCTAGCTGGCACCTGAAAAGCTGCGGCAGAAGCAGCCGCCGGGCCAGGCAGATCCCACTGGAGAACAGGCCCCAAAGCCAGGGCGCAAACGAGCTGCCAAGGCCACCCGGGTCCCTGCGGTGCTGGAGAGCGAAGGAGGACCAGGTAACGGGCTGGTGGTGTCACAAGCACCCTGACCCTGCTGAGAGGCCCCTGCCTGTGTTGATTCGCTGCCCCCTTCTCCACAGGTACTGCTGAGGAGAAGCCAAAAGCCACGAAGCAGAAGCCAAAAGCTGCGAAGCAGAAGCCAAGGACGAAGCCTGCAGATGTGAGTATGGCCCTGTGGGGTGCCAGTGCTATGCTCAGGCTGCTGACTCACAGCATGGCAGCAGCCTGAGGTGCTAGGTGCTCTCTCCTCTCCAGGCCCAGCCGGCACCAGCAGCAGCGAAGCCCAGGAGCGATGGAGCAAAGGCCCCTCGGGCCCCTGCCAAAGGGCAGTCAGCGCCCCGTGCAGCTCTGGCTGACAAGGACAAGGGAGGGAACGATGGTGACCGCCCTGTGGGTGCTGGGGCAAAGGGGACCAGAAAGGCCCCAGCAGGCAAGACTAAGGGGAAGGTGCCTGGGGAAGCTCAGGAAGCTGCCCCGAAGAAGAAGGGGGCTAAAGGCAAGACAAGGAAACCCCAGGCAGCCCGAGGTGCTGGCCAGGGGGAGTCTGTGCCGTAGGAGGCATCGCTTGCCATGTGGGCAAGGAGGTGCGCTAGGGGTCCCAGGTCTCTGGCAGTGCAGCACTGTGCCACTCTGAGCCCAGACCCATGGCATCTGAGTTGGTTTTAGTCTCCAGGACAGGTTTTAACTCTGTGTTCACCTGCTACTAATAAAGCTGCTTCACTCATCATGAAACAGTGTGACTACTGCCCTGCTCCTGTGCCCCTGTCTCCCAAGGCCAGCATTCCCCAGCCCAGGGTAAGCGTGGATCCAAGCCTGCTCCTGGCCTCATCCCAAGTGGGATGGGGCAGCACACGGGCTCACGGAGTGGACATGAGCTGGTGCTGCAGCTGCCAGCTCCCATGAGGTGTCCTGTGCATCTCCACGTCCCCGGCTGCTGGTTGGAGCAGTACATAGTAGTTGGGCTCCTGGGAAGCCCCTATCTGGCCAGCCAGCAGTGCAGGGGTGGCTTTGGGGGGTGCTGCATGTGTGCAGGCTCGTGGTAAGCTCCAGTATCAGGTGATGGCCCAGTCAGGGGCACTGGGATGCCATGGGGCATGCTGGTGGCACCGGTGAACACTGGGAAGCTCGGGCTTCTCCAGCTCTGCTGATGTGGGGCCATGGCACCCACAGCCTTGGAGTGGGGTAGGCGTCCAGCTTCATGCCCTACCAGCTGCCCTTGTGCTAATGCCTGGCTGAGCTTGGATTACAGGAGCCTCAGGGCAGGAGGTGTGGGTGCGTGCTGTGGACAAGGGTCCCTAGCAGCAGGAGGGGCTGCTGTTTTTTTAGCCACGGTAAGAGAAAAGACAGAAGTGTTTTTGGGCTTAAAGATACTTGGGGTGTTTACAGCAGGGTGTGGAATTGTTTGTTCTTGTTCTGTCTGTGAGCAGTACTCACCTCTCAGCCTTACTAGCTTCTAGTAAGTTGGTCCAAGTATGAAAACTTTCATTTAAGAGTTTCAAATGCCCAAATTTCTCTTGCTCTGCAGAGAACATAGCCCTTCTGAAGGTCAGCCTGATAATGCAAAGGGTTACAGTCCTCCTGGGCAGGAGAAAATAAGTGGAAGTAAAACTCTTCCTAAAGAGGATTTTGCTAATCTTCAGCTGGCCTTGCCAATGCCCTCCAAGGCTTCTGGCCTTGCTTTGGGGCTTAAGCAAGAGCTGAGCAAACTAACTACTTTTTAAACTTCAACCTTGGCCATGTTGATGCATCTTTAATGAAACTGAACCCCTGTTCCCCAGGGACAGGGCAGAGGATGCTTCAATAATAACGAAGAAGGGCTCAGCTGCTCTTTTGGTGATGGTTAACCTCACAAAACACTGCTCATTAGCATGGAAATGTCCTGCAGCAGAACAGGGCAGGAGCTGCATCCTCTCTCACCAGGCACTGAATGTCAAACATGACTCTCCTTCTGAGAGAGCAAATCATTAAATGCCTGGATTTAGCTTTACTAAGAATCAACTTTCTAGTGGGAAAAGAAAATCTCTCTGGTGTCTGGAAAGAGCAGCTTTTAGTGGGGAGGAGGCAGAAGTGAGAGGATTTTAGCAGTGGCACGATTATCGAGACCTGCAGGCTGGGGCTGCTTTCACGGTGCTGAAGCCAGAAGCCTCGAGGACATCAGTGGTGGTGCAGAGCACACTGGGCTCACCAGTGCTGGGAGAAGATGCAGCTTTGTGGGCTGACAGCACCTGGCAGAGGTAAGGATGTCCAGCCCCAGGAATCAGTGTGGTGCTACTGGTCTTTATGTGTGATTTGTGTGGGTGTGGAGTTGAGTCCTCGCAGGGATTTTCTACCTCCCACAGCAGCACCTGTCCTGGTGGAACATGTGGTATCAACAACGCAGGAGTAATAACTGCTGCAGACCAGAAGGGTTAAAACGTGTCTCATGGAAACAAGGTGGTCGTTAGCTGAGCTGCCAGCCCCGAGAACTGTGGGTGTTGTATTGCAAAACTGACCCACCAGCTGCCCTCCTGCCCGTGTTTCTAGGTTGGGTCAGGGTAGTGGCTTGCATGGGCTGTGGAGGAGTGTGGGAAGAGAGGGGCTTTGGGCAAAGGATAGCAGCCTGACCTTGGTGTGTTTCTCAGTGTCTGGGGTCCTCTATGTGCAGATGGGCAGAAATGTCACTATACAGGGTTTCAGCACCTTGTTTTATTACAAAGATAGGCTTTTCCAAGAGTCTGCCACTTCCACTACACAGCAGGTAAGGGCACTACACCCACAACACATGCCAAAGTTTAAAAACATGTTACAAAGGGCTCGGGTTCAAGGCAACACTACAAACCCTCAAGCATCTGCTCTGTTAAAGTTGTTTCTTTAAAATGGTTGTAGCAACTACTTTTTTTCATTTTTTTCATATTTTTTTTTTTTGCTTTGGAAAAAATTAAATAAAGCAATAGGCCCCAAAATGCAGCCCAGTCACATCATCTGGAGGCAAACTATACTCATTACTGGCTCATCTGTATCCTTTTCTTGTAGCATGGGGCTACTGCTCCATGGCCCTTTTTCCACCTCCAGCCAAGCTCCACGTTCTCTGCTCCACGTTCTCAAGCTCCATGCTCTCTGGTGAGATCCTTCTCACCCTTGCCTTCCCTGTGCTGGGCCTGCCTATATCTCTGGTAACTATTCACAGTTTCTAGAGAAAAAAAAAATCAAGATTTTTTTTTTGTGAAATCAGTTTCAAAATAAAATGTAGCCCAGCTACATTCTTAGTTTCTATTCTGAAGCCACATCCTCAGCAAAAACATTGAAACCTCCACAGTGTATGTACTTTTTCTGTAGTTTCTTTTTTTAAAAAAAACAAACAACAAAAAAAATCTGTTCTTCCCCTTTCCCTCCCCTCCCTACCCCCTTTTAACATACTGGATAAATTCTATCATTTGTTTTAAAATAGATATCTATATACACATACACAATCTGATGTTCAAATTTCTAACAAATGTGGCATTACTGGAAATGAGGGGATGGGGGCCACCTGTCCATGGCAGTGAGTCACCCAGGAGGAGTTCTGGTGGACCAAGGTCATCTAATACCAGGTTGCATCCTTGCCAGCTGGATGAGTAACGGAGGCTCACCTTAAGACCCTGCCTGGAGTGAGGTAGTAACTTTTTTTTCTTTTTCTATTTGGCAGTTTGAAAACATGGTGCCTAACTACAGCTGGGTTTAGCTTTCATGGGCAGGTTGCCTTTGCCTGCATGGGAATGCTGGCTTCACACGTGTGGTCCAGCCTTTAAAGAGGGGCCTGAATGATGCTGGAGAAGATTGGAGTGGTCACAGCTCCCCTGGCTGCAGAAAAGAAGTTGCTAGCAGAAAGGAAAGTGTGCCACCAGGCTGGGATGGGGCGGGTCTGCCCCAGCACAGATCCCGCATGATGGCAGTGAAGTTTCTGGTCTTGAACAAGTTCTATTTGTCTCTGCAGCAAGACCCTGTTTGCTGACACCAGTGTAACCAGGAGCGTGACACTTTCTACTTTTGTTTGCGGCTTGTGTTACATGTGACCTGCTCTGCTGGCTTGTGTGAGCAAAAACATCGTGCTGTCATGGGGCTGAGGTTTAGTCCCTTGCCTTTATGGACTGAAAAAAAAGACAGAACACGTAGCAAAACTGCTCTCTTGGTTGCTCTTTGATAACCATGTACTGTGTCCGAGGCAAGCAGAACAAGCTGCTTTGGGAATACACCTCTGTAGCACTGACATGTTTCAGGTGGTGATTACAGGGAGATACTGGAGTGTGTGTGGCAAAGGGAGGGAAGATGCTACCTGGATGCTGTCCTGGGTGCGGCTCAGTTCTGCTCTGCCAGGGGACTGTAGACATGAGCTTAAGTAAGCGCCATAGCTGTGCGCAGCCAGTCAGGCTGGAAGAGCAGAGCAAGAGGCAGAAGTCCTTCCCTTCACCCACTTACATCTAGTCTTCTCCCAGGCAGAAATGATGCTTGTGACCAGCTGGCTGAAGGGTGAATCGTTAGTGGATATTTGCCTACCCTCCTGCAAACTCCACTCCGCTGTGCAGACAGGTCTGGGAACCTGGGGAAGGGGGAAGAGCCTTTCCCACACTAACATGCAATGCACTCCCTCCAGCTAGCAAACAGCTGTTTCTGTTAGGAGATAAAGTGCTTTCAGCATGCCTTAGCTACTTAGGAAGCAACTGCTTTGTATCAGCCCCGAGTTTCCTGTGTTGCCCAAATCTCAGAAGAAGGAGTGGTTATGTTTACACATACAGTACAAAAATTAAAAGGCACAAAAATACACAGAATGCAGCAGATAGTGAACGATTGATAGTCCCTGGTGTCAGAAAACCATGGATGTCAGAGGGATGGTGTGGAGGGAAGGGAGCTCTGCCATTGCTCTGATAGCCTTTGCCATCTCTGCTCATTACTCCCTTAGGCTACCCTTTAGCTTTGCATCTGTTGTTATGGCTTCTGCAGCCTGGTCTCTTGTCCTTGAGGAATCACAAACGGGGATGCAGGGAGCTGACGACTGCTCAGGAGCTGATTAGAGGGAAGTGGTGAACTGAGCTTGCCACAAGTGTCATGTTTCCATTTCTGGCTTGCAACAGCAAATAAATTATGGGTGCCACAGTGCCGATCGGAGGGTTTTCTAGCTGCTCATAAAGGTGTCTTGTGGCTTCTTGTTACGTGAGGGAGCACTTCAGCCGCAGGCCAGGCTCACCCCTGCCACAAGGCTGGTTTGAGAATGACCCTGACGGATGTGGCCCAACGTATATCCACGGTCAAAGGAGGTTCCCTACAGCAGTGCACTCTAGAGGTCACTTCCCAGGCTGCAGTCAGCCTAGGCTTCGCTGCAGCACTCGTAGATGTTGTCCTCCATGAGCGCAATCACTTGCTCAAACTTGTGCTGGAGCTGGGTGCGCTTCGTCGTGGGGTTGGCGTCCAGGGCAGCCACGATCTGCAGGAGAGGTGGGCATGTGAGAGGTGAGGCAGTGTCAGGGTCCCCGTCCCTGCCCTGCTCCCCGGCCAGCACTATTAAGCCTGAATCCCAGCTGGGGCAGGGGACGCCAGCCCTGGGGCACAGCCCCTGCACTCAGCGTGGCCCCCGTGCCCTCCAGGAGCACTAGGGCTCAGCTGAGTCCCTGCTCTTGTACCGAGGTGGAGGGCCAAAATGTAACCAACAACCCCTGTAACGAACCTCACAGTGCAGAGCTGGCCCTGCAGGGCAGGGTGTGGTGGGGTCCGGAACCAGCCAGGGCTGGTGGTGGTGGGAGTGGTGGGTGCTGAGTTATCGTGGGTGTGACTGTACCAGCGTGCTCTGCCTCCTGCATCGGCAGGACTACACATCAGTCAGCCCTGCCTCAGTCCCCCCAGCCAAGCACTGTTAAAATTGGCTGGGAAGAGCTGGCCTTTTCTTTTACGAAGTCATCAACCAAGGGATGGGATAGAAAGTACATCTGTGTGTGTGTATTACATATGTGTACTGGATTATGCAAAGAAAGATAATCCCTGTTCTGTGGGACTGGATGCAGGCATCTGCCTGCTTGGTTACAAAATGCTGCTTGTTATTTCCTCCGCGGGTAATCTGAGGCCCCAGTACAGCCAGACCCACTTACCTGGGAGCGGTATCTCTTGGCATATTTGTATATCTCAGCCATGGCAACATTGGTGTTGAATTCGTTCCGATATTTCTTTAGAAAGACAAAACAAAGGGGGGGAGGTATGTTATCCTGATGCAGCAAGTGCGTTCAAGTCCAATCAGCAGGCATTAACTAGATTAAAAGAAGGTTTAGACTGGCTATTTTTATTACAGTGGAATTGATGCAGCTGGGCTTCTGCCTTCCTCCTTTAAGGAAGCTGTATTTGCTTACATCAGAAATGGTCTTAGTCTTTTTAAAGTCAGCCTTAAATGACCATAGCTGATAGCCCTGTTTACCCATCAGCGCTCAAAGACATTTCAAAGGATGGGACAGCGTCAGAGGTGGGTAGAGCACCCAGGGAAAAAGCCTGCTCAGTGGCTGGAGCTGAAACGCCGTGGTGAGATGGCTGGATGTTGAGGAAGCCATGGCGCGGTGCTGGCAGGGCTCAGATCCGGAGCACGGCTGCCAGCTCCCGTAGCTGGTACCAGGGCCGGCATCCCTTGCCCGGCCACCTGCCAGGGCTGGCTGCCAGCGGGCAGCCTGGCACTTGGGGCCAGCCCTGGCACTCGGCGGCCTGGGGGACAGCTGGCTGGGGGCTGGGAGATGGCAGAGATCCTCTTCCAAACTTCCTGGCTCTTTGGCACTGAATTTTGCTTTAAATTCCCACCAGTGCCAAAGCTAGTTAGTTTCAAGCAAACTCGTGGATGTTTACTGCAGCTCTGGCAGTAATTAAAGATGCTTGGAATTAGGTCAGATGAAGTTTGTGCCTGGAAATTTGAGGCAAAATATCCTTTCTCGTTTGCTCCCTCCAACGTCTATCTAAGCAGGAGCTGCCTGCAGCCTCCCTGCCCGTGCCCGGCTCGTGCTGCCAGCCGCAGCAGGCTCGCTGCCCCTGGGCACGCAGCCCGTGGTGCGGAGAGGCAGCGCACGCACCGAGCCCCAGCAGCCCAGCGCCCCTTACCCGGGACTCCTCTGCAAGGTGCGCGTTCATCTCCTGCTCGCTGAGCGGCGGCATGTCGTGGATTTGCTTGTAGTATCGCTGCACGATCTTCCTGTACTCCGGGATCTCCTTGGCGTAAAGTAGTTTATTGGTCGGGGAGTCCTAGAGTGAGAATGAGATACTGGAATCAGGCAGCATATTGCTTCTGGCCGAGAACTCCTTACCCTGTTTGTCTGGCTGAAGTGTTGGCTATCAGACAGGGCCTTCAGCTACAGCTGAGTTCAGGAAACAGCTTTGTCTTTGTGCCTGGCTTTACACAAACAGGAGCGTGGTGGACAGCACCGAGGCACAGCCCTGCTAATGACAGCAGTGCTTGCACACACACATCGAGGTGCTGCAGACAGATACCACCTGCTTGCAGAACCACAGCACCGACCCTCCGCATGTGGCTGTCCACTGCCCATCTCCCTGTCATGAGCTAAAAACTGGTTAGCTTCTGTACCAGTGAAGGTAGTCTAAGTGAATGTATTTTAATTTGCAGCAAGGGCAAGCTCAAATGTGTGCCTGAGGCAGTTTGCTACCAGGTAATACTCTGCAGATACGTGTAACATGACTATGTTAGATAATACACTTGTGCTCCATGGCATCACATGTGGAAATTGGTAATGAGGGATGGGCTTTTGAATGCATTTACTCTGGTCTCTTGAGCAGCCAGCTTGATTTAAACCAAAGAACAAAGCTCTTGTACAAGCTGAACTTTGTCAGTTGAAATGTTGCTCTTGGATTTTTAATGTAGCTTTGATTTATTTTGCATTGACTAACCCAGCCTGCCTGACCTATATTGAGTGCATGTAAAGTAATTAACAGAAAATACTGAGTTTTCTTGATTAATGTCAGCTTGGACAAAGTAGTCTCAACCTCCCAGCCACATGAACAGGTTGCACCCGTAATGGCATAACCCCACTCGCACTCTTTGAAAACACAAGCATGAATGATTCTAACCTCAAGGCAATGCTGCCCCACTGACATCATTACCCTGGGAATGAACCTGGCAGACGCCAGCATTGTATCCCAAAGGGAAAAAGAGCCCCAGGCTCTGGGACAGGGAGGGGAGTAAGATCAAGGTGTCCCATTGCCCTGACACTCTGTGGGGACTGCTCCCTGGTGCTCTGACAGGTGGAGAGGGGGAGGAAGGATCTGCAGACAAAACAAGCCTGGCAGGGCTTTAGCCACGGAGACAGCACCTCCAGCTGTATCAGGCAGTAAATAAGGAAGCCAGGGGTAACTGCAAGCCGCTGGTGCAGTATGTGGGATGGCTAATGCTGCAGGAGCACCAGGCTGCAGCACCAGACCCCACAGCAGTTTATTTTCAAACCCAAGGCATTACAGGAGGATAGCCAAGTTACACAGTCTGCTTACAACTTTTTTTTTTTTTTTTCTTTGGAAACAGAAGAATCCCATGTTGCCGTTTCTTTAAGTTATTTTTAATTTGTGTATGGTTTGTCCACTCTGTATTACAAAGAGATTGAGAGTGATTTATTAGCATATTGCACACTGCAGATGTACAGAGTCTGCTCTCTCATTCGCAGTATCAGAAGTAACACTACTGAACACCCTGTAACTAGAGGAAGAACCCAGCCTGGATAATTCAGTGATATACTGTGTGTATATGCAAGCTGGATTTTATGCTGAGGATTTATTCTCCACACATTACTCAACAGCTCCTTCACTTATGCTATTGTACTGCCGAAAAATGTTTCCATCTGGTGTCTGACTCCAGCTGACCCCTCTTCCCCTCATCCACAGCTTGACAAGGACAAATTGTAGGTGTTTCGTAACACTTGCTAAAAAATGTCCAAAACCCAAACAAACAAAAAATCAAGAGCTCATTAGATCTTCCTCCAGTATTAATCTCTCCCAGTAGAGGCTTCCCATCACTCTCGGTCTGGGGGATGCACTGAGCAGCGCACGTCTCCCGCTGTCGGGTCCCCTCTACGTCACACACCCAGCTTCTGGGGCGGGGGGACGGCAAGAGATGATTTACAGCATTTGCTAATAAAACTTTTTGTGTTGGGAAGTTTCAAATGTCAGCACCACACAGCCAAGACAGAGTGAGAGCAGCGAGCATGCGCGCTGCCTCCCAGCCTGCAGGGCCGCCCGTTGGCTCGGGGCACGGGGTGACCGGCGTGTGCTGGCAGTGCTGCGGCCAGGGGCCTGCGCCACGGCACCGAGTGCTCCAGGGGTGGGCTATGGCAGCACCCGCCAGTGCTTCCCATGGGCTGATGGACGGCATCGACGGGATGGCACCAGGCAAGCCCTGTGCCTCCGCGTGCGAGCCAGGCTGGGGCTGTGCTGCCACAGCCCGCCCTTCACAAATGCTCCAGCTTGGCCTTAGGGGTGGCCCTACAGAGGTTGTGCACGCTGGGTGTTCTAGAGCTGTGGGACAGCATGCATGGCCGCTCAGCAACGGCTGGGCCTCTGTCCTCCAAGTTTTCCAGGCTGGGGGCCTTTGCTCTTTGCCCATCTTGCAGGGTGTTCACATTCCCTGACCTCCGCTTCTGGCAGAGGGGTGCAAATTTTAAGCTCAAGCCTGAACAAAGCAGTTGGGAAGGCAGGAGAGGTCAACTCATCCTCTCAGCAGGTAACCCACAGTCAGCTCAGCTTTTGAGGACAGGTTTGGGCCAGGTGACCTCTGACAGTCCCTTTCCATCCATATTATTTTGTGTCTATGACTGCCGGAGCAGGAAGGGGCTGTCCCCTCTGGACTGTACCTTGCCCAGCTGCAGGTCAGACAGGGAGCAGGCGTCGATGAAGGCCTGGGCTATCACAGAGAGACAGGCGTCAATGTGGTCTGTCTTGTCAATGTCAAAGACAAACTGGGGGTTCTTCAGGATGTTGACCCAAAACCTCAGAGGTAGGCTGTAAAGGAAACAAGACAGGAACACACCGGGTGAATTTTTTACTCCACAGGGAGAGGAGAGGAAATGCAGGAAAGATGATAGAACTTGAATACAAGAGAGGAAAAAAAGGAGGAGCCAGGCTCTGTTATTTATTCAAATCCTGGCAGCGTACATTCCCCTGCCTAGCTGGACGGGCAGGCACACGTCCTAACCCTGAAGAGACCCTTGCTCAGGCTGAGGTACAAGCCATGGAGAGGAGACTTTATGTACAGCCTTAACCAGGTGAGCACACACCCTGCTCCTTCAGCAGCTTGCTGAGCCAGCCGTGTGCCAAGAGCAGCACTGGCTGCATGGGGCTTTTGTACCAGGCTTCCTTACTTGCTGACTTTTTTTTGTAGCGATGGTGTCAGCTCCTTTTCCATTTTCTCTGACAGTAACTATCATCTGGTTCTGATGGTAAGCCTGGCCCCATGAAATACACTTCATATGTATTTTTTCCGCTCTCTCATCATTTTCTTCTCTGGTTATTTCAGTGCTCGTTTGGCTGCCACACAGTTTCAGCATATCACTCGCCCTGCCTACCATCCCTCCTCAGCAGCTGAAGAGTAAAAGCTGCTATACGTCTTTGTTCTACTGCTAATTAAAGGTAATGAAGGCTAGGCAAATCTGTAGTTCACGTGTTGTGTCTACATGCCTGCTATCCCTGCCAAATTGGTTTTTAATTTTCACATGTTGGGATGGGAAAAGTTGCTGTCCCTGCAGCCTCAGAAGTGCAGAGCCTCTCCTCACGGTTTCTGCCCTGCTCTATTCTCCCCCTTCACTTTGGCTCCCCTCATGCCATTTCTGCTGCTCATCACATTCCTCAGCACCACTCCTGGCTGGTCCTGGTGCTGTGATACCAGCAGAATGCAGCACCAGCAGCCTGCAGTCCTGTGCATGGCCTGGAGTCTCAGCTTGGTTACAGAGATATCAGGAAGAAGTTGCCCCAAAGGGCTGAAAAGACAAAAATCAAATGAAAAAGAGCCAAATATGCTGATTTTAAAATCACTGTGATGTTTTAAGACCTGATGTGATTTTTGAAATCTATCTCTTTGTCTAGATTTTGAAATCTATCTCTTTATTGCTTAGAATTTATGCCACTGCTGTCTCCAGTCATCCCATCCCTCCTCTGTTTCTTTTAACTATTTGTATTACTGTGCCTATTCCTTCTGCCCTTTATCTGACTATGCCTCCTCTTCCAGGTCTCTGCTCCCCGAGCTCTGCATTTGTTCAAAGCTCTCCGAACCCACTCATTTGGGCTCATTTTTCAGCCTTTCCCTGTTTTCCAAGTTCCTCATTGGTTCTGCTTCTAGAAGCCTAATGGTTAATCCAGGGCACCAAAGGTTTGCAGCTGCTGCTCTGAGAGATGTAAGGAAACAAAGAAGAGGTCTTGTCTTCCAAACCTGTTGGTCTTCCAGATGTGCATAGTGTCAGGATCGGTGATCCCTCTTTTCTCTGCTTGCTCCTCTAGGAAGTCAAAGAAATACTTCACGGCCACAGGCGGCTTGTCATCTCGGATACTGAGAATGGCTTTGAACAAGTCGTCCAGGAACTTCTGCAGTGTGCCCTGTGGGACAAGCACACACAATCGAGCCTGCAGAAAGCAGCAGCACCTGAGCCCCAAAATGGTGTGAGAACTGTGACTGCTACACACAAGGGGAAATACTTTGCTGCCAGTTGGATAAGTCCCAAGAGGAAGGGGATGCTAAAGCAAGGAGAGAAAGGTTTGTTTGTGCATAGTGATATAATTAGCTTGCATTTGGGTTTAATTTCTTTTGGCATCGAGGTTTTCTTTCTTACTGTGAGGATCTCACATCTGCGATTGTTCTGCACAGTAAATACAAAAAAGACTGGAGACTGCTGGCCATTCTTGTGATCTCTGCTCCAGTGAAGCATCATGCTGGGATTAAAGATGGGCTGGGAGCCCAACTGCTGGAGCTAAGTACTCGCAGCGAGTGGGCAAGTTCAAATCTGAATTAAGATCGCACAGACATTCCTCCTGCTTGCAGAGCTGAGCATCTCCATTCCCTTTCCCAGCAGGATCACTCAATGAGGAGATGGGTTCAGGTCTGAATTGAGCACTGGGAGCCCCAGGGTGGTCAGCATCCATTTCATGTCTAGAGACCCCAGACCTGCACTTGGGGAGACGATGTGGGGCTTCACACAGCTGTGCTACTCTCAGAGGGAGAGCTGCAGAGCTAGAGGGAACCAAAGAGCCAGTGGAGCCCAGCAGCCTCGCTGAAGCCTCTCTGAACATTCAGGACAGATGAATCCCAAAGCCCCTTGAACGTGACTGGCTCTGCAGCACTCCTGTCTTAGGTCAGTCTTCTTGCTACAGGCCGCAATCAACACTCCCACTTGCCGTAAGCATCAGTGTTCCCACCTCCTACCTTTGTAGAGAGCAGCCTGGTCAGGTAGATCTCCGGTAGGACTTTCTTCCTATGGCTCTGTCTGTGGGACTTCTTATGTTCAACTGATTCATCAGTTGGAAGAACCTGGTCCAATATAAAACATATGTTCAGAATGCTCCTCCCCGGAAGTGTCACACTGAATTTTCATTTAACTATAGAATTTCAACTGCATATACAATCCAATTAAAAAGCAGTTACTTGTTATAAATACACCCTTATATGGCTTCAGAAAAGTAATTCATAATATTCAGTTTTTCTGACATTTGTTTCTCTTGCTCTCTTTGCTGCCTCCCTCAATCTAGACAAAGAAAATGAAACAATCAATCTCACTTTGCAAGTTAGTCTGTTTGCCTTCCTGCTCTCTGTGAAGTATTCCTGTGTGGCTGCAGTTTAGGTTCCCAGAAACAAGAACAAGGCTTCCATGGAAAGCAGCTTTTCTTAGATTTGGAAAAAAAAGTGCAAGAACAATCAGCCAATATTCCTACCCTGGGCTTTTTAAAAACAAAAATAAATATTCCACAGGTCAGGTCAGTTAATTACTGCTCTCTAATGACCTAGCAAGCCATTTAAGTACATCTTGGCATTGTTTCATATGTGCACATTCAGTTTCCTGTCCCTCCTCCCTCCTTGCTCCTGTGTGTATGTATGCATGTGCACGTGCGTGTGCATTGTGTGTTAGTACTCAGCATGGAAACTTTAGCAGAGAAAAACAGCTCTACAATCCTGTTGTTGTCCTTAACGCTTTTTTTTCATAACAGCTTTTAATAACATTTAGCACTTTGTACTTCCAGAGTGGTGCACAAGCAGGAACTAATAAATCTCCCCAGCCCTGGGATGCAGGCAGAGTGCCAGCAGCCCCTGCTAGGTGACTTGACCAAGGCTGTGCAGAACGTACCTGGTGGCACCGCTCCATGCTCAGATTGCACTTCTGAACTCTCCGTGGCTGCTGACAGCTGGATCAGGCCACAATAATTACTTTGCTGTCTTGGTAATTTATTATTATGTCCCACAGTACTAAAGCTTTTCTACAGATAACCTTTCTGCTCCTTTTTGGGCCTCTCTGAAGAAAACTAACGACCACTGACACAGCCTGTTCATCACATCTGATGGTTCAGCCCACAGAGATGAATTAAGTTAATATCAGAGAGGCTGCGAAGATATGCTCTTCTTTCATCACACACAATAAAAAATAAGAGCCCAGAGACTTAAACGCAGGTGAAGAGAGAGATGGCCGCACACACACAGCCTTGCGGGTTGCCTTTGCTCCCGATGTTTCTCAGGCTGCCGACAGTCCTGGCCACGCGGTGCGGGGAGCCCAGAGCCACCATGCGCAGCAAGGAGCTGGCAGCACCGCGCCCACCCGCTGCAGACACCGCGCCACACGCTGCCCCCACAGCCAGCCACGAAGCTCAGCAGCTCAGGGAGCAAGATACTCACTAAATGGAAGTACTTCTCAGTGTCCAGATCCTTCACTGCGAAGAACAAGAGAGACAGCAGCTTAGCCTGGGGGCCCAGACCGAAACCTGCCTGCACACACTGTGTCAGGACCTGTGCTTGCTTTCCACAAGAGGTCCAGACGCCCAGCTGGTGTTTCAGCACTTTTCTTGGTTTTGGCAGTGTTTATTTACTGCCTTCTTGGGGGGCAGGCGAGAACCTCAGGAAGCACTTTAAGGGGTGCTTTAAGTCTCCCAGGGGGTGTTGCAGGAGGACCCTAAGAGGGTGTGAGCAGGATTAGCACAGGGCCTCTCCTGCATGCCGCCCCTGTGCCGGGTGCCCACATGCCACGATGGCCTGCTATGGCTCCCAGCATTTGTCCCCAGGCAGCCACAGCCTGGCCGCCTGTCCTCAGGCTAACAGGCAAAGGGAATCCCACAGAGACGGACTGTGTGCAGATGGCCTAAGAGACGGAGTGGTTGAAATTCTTTTTCTAATGCGAATTTTTGTCTCTTTCTGCCTGTTTTGACTTTCTGTGCAGCCTGAAACATAGGTGTATGCTGGCAATAAACTGAGCATGGGAGAGAAAGGGATTTTCAGTCCTGTGGTTTCAGATTCTTGCTTTTCTTTCACTGTGTTAGCACAGATTTAATGCAAACCTCCAACAAGCATGTGAGAAGGAAGGTTCAAACACATTTAGCTTAAAGGTTGGGCAAACAGAGAGAGGAAGATACAGGCTAACAGTTTTTTAAACCAGGAACACAAACACGACATCAGCAACTTAAACACAACAAAGCAAACAACATAAACTTTTATCTCCCGCAATGTGTGTCTCAGAAATGCGTACTTCTCAGCCCTTAATGTCTCCCACAGAGCTAGAGGAGGCACAAAAACCCAGTCGATTTTTCCATCTTTGCAAGTGACAGACAAGCCTTAAAAAGGCAGACAAACCTACAGGCACATGCAAAGACCCGCCCTCGGCAGTGTCACACTCAGTGTCCTCCAGACACAGAGCTGAGCGATGCCCAGCTCTGCCCCACACCTCTGGGAAACGGCGCTCTGCAGGGGCTGCCAACACCAAGGGGCCCGGCAGCCAGCTCAGCCTCACCTCCCAGACGCCCCTCCATGCACACACGTGCCTCTGCCCCGCCACCAGCAGCAGGGGAGAAGGGAGCTCTTACCTCTGCTCAGCGTGGCATCCTTCTTGTCCGACAAGCTCATGGCCAGTGACGCCCCTTCGGGGATCTGCAGAGGAAGGGGTGAGCAGACCTTTAATGATGACAGCGCCCTGGCAGCACCTCCCTGCCAGCCAGGGATGGACCCGGGCAGCTCCCGGAGCCTGGGGATGCTGGTGCAGCGGCTGCTCTGCCACGAGCACACCCCTGCGACCGCCCTGCCCCTGCTCCCCTGCATGGGAACTGGTAATAATGGCACTGCCCTACTGGGAAAGGCTTTTTTAAGGGCAAATACAAGATTGGGGCATTCTCAAATGGTGGGAATCAGGCATGTATCCAAGATAAATTTTTGGCACGTCGACACCAGGTAATTTGAAAAAGAGTGTTGGGCTGTGCAGACACTGCTTTGCCTTTTCCCAGAGAGTGAGAAGGAACCTCAGTGCAGGCTGAGGACTCGCTGGGGCAGGGACCATCCCTTTGTTCTGCATCTGGCTCTCGGCACAGCAGGGCACTGAGCCAGAAGTGGGGCTCTGTGGCAGTGGTGTTACACAAATAATAACATTAATAGGCACTCAGTTCCATTTTTGATTTTCCATGCATTGTTACAGAGCAGTGAGGATTATGCTTCCAAGCATATCAAGGAATGGGGAAATCAAATAAAATTTTCTGGTTTTGTTTAGTTTTAAAGGAAAACTACTCAAGAGCACAGTTTGGTTTACCACATTTCCCAAATTTTTGGCTTCTTCTCAGTGGCATCCCTAGCCTCTGCTCTCAGGGCAGGCAGTGACAATTGTGCTAGTGATTTCAGAAGGGGCATGGATCAAGAGCCGAATGATACTAATCAGCCAAGCTGGTGGCCACTGGGAATAGGAGCTTTTTTTTTTTCCTCCTCTTTCTGTTGTCAGTAATAACTTGTTTTGCATGAAGAGTGTTTAATTAGTTTCAGTGTGTTGCAATATTAACGAGCTTCTCGCCAGGGCAGATGTCTATTCCCCGGAAGCTCTCTTGGAGCTATGGCAACCTTCCTGCGTGTTTCTGATAATCCTGTTTTTGGAGGAGGAACTGCCGCTCGCCCCCGAGGCCAGGCAGGCTGCAAGGAAGCAAAGCTTTTCTGCAGCGCTGGCAGGTTTACCTTGTAATGTGCTAATGTGTTGAGCTTCTTCCTGCCATCCTCCACCACCGAGGTGTCGTCGAGGTCCCGCAGGATGTAGCTGTCGGTGCTGGTGGCAAACCACTCTGAGCAGACAGAGGGGAGAAGTGAGTGCCCAGCCTGGAGGAGGCTGGCGCAGCAGGACCCAGGGCTCCTGGCGGGCGCTGTGCCAGGCAGCACACATCCACCACACAGCACCACTGCAAAGGCCTCCGGGGCTCTCTGCAGCTAAAGCAGGCATGCTTCAGCCACCTCCAGGGAGAAGCCCAAAGCTGGGGATCTCTACACTAATGCTGGGCAGGATGGCCCTGGGAGAGGTGACAAGGGCTCTGCTCAGCAGGACTGGCAAGGAGCACCTCTCCCCAGTCCCTGTCCCTGCCTGGTCCCTTGGGGGCCGTGAGGGACCTGCCTCGTGCCGCACTGCGCGGGTGACACGCTGTGGGGCTGTGCATGGGGCTACCAAAGGTCGGTGGTGGTCAGTGGGGCAGAGCCAGTCATGGCCCGGGGACGTGCCACGAGCACCAGGGAGAGGAGCGTGGCCCTGGCACTGCTCCAGCCCAGCGCGTTCTCCCAGGAAGACTCCCCCGGCACCGACTGTGCTGAATTCCTGGCGCCAGCCAGCCTGCATCTCCACAGCCTGTTGTGTGGTGTGGTGGCACTGAGGCCAGCATGGTTTTCTCTTCACAGTATTGGGCTTGGATTCTTCTTAAGTTCTGGGAGGAGGAGCTGTCCACTGGTAGATTAATGACACAGCTGAACCCATGGACAGATAGGAGCCCATGAGCTCATTTTTGGCTGCTTATGGAGAGACACATATTAATGAGCCATGTGCAGACCCAAGAGTGTTTTAGAGAATACCACTTCTGGGGTTTACCAGTATGGGCTTCAAAGGACACAAGTCCAAGCACCCCTCTGCTCACCCTGGGCTTTCCTAAAGCTCCTTTCCAGTCACACGGCTCCCTCCTGCCCACCAGGATCTGGTCCCATCACGTATTCCTCAGGAAAAGGTGTCTTGAGCCTGCCCTCTCCCAGCGCTACTCCACCCAGCACCCTCCGACAGACACCAAGAGCTCGTGTGCAACATCAGCTCCTCCACCCGCCGGTAAGGGCTGGCCTGTCCAACGCAGCCGTTCCTTACCAAGGTCAACGTCTTCCACCCTCGGCCACTGGGAGTAGGGGACGTTCTTGCAGAAGGCCTCCAGGATCTTCTCTTTCACTTGGCTGAGTGTGTCTGTGTCCATGGCCCTGACGCTCAGGGAGTCCATCCCACAGCCTTGGAAAGAGACGTTGAGGTTCTGCGGGCAGAGGCCAAGCGAGGAGTGAGGAGCGCAACCTGCCCAGCTCTGCTGGCTCTCACGGACACGCGGCACTGCAGCACCCACAAGGCTCTTGCAGCTGCCTGCTGGGCACTGTGCTGATGGAAGTCAGGCTGAGCAGAGGTGGTCAGCTATATTTTACTGCTAGTGAAAAGTGCTAATTTATGACTGAATTTATGGACGGAGCCAGGGGGGCGTGGGGAGCAGCGCTGCACCCTCTCCTTTCATGCTGCCTTACTCATGGGCCTTAGCCCCGGTGCGCAGAGACCTGTGTGGTGGGAGGGAAGTTCAGCCCCTGCCACCGGCCATGTTCTCAGCTTCCTGGCTCTGACCAGCGACTGATGGGGCTGCTAAGGCTCATTGCCCTGCCTCTCCCTGGTGCAACTGGCCAAGCTGCTGTTTAAACAAGCTTTAAGCACACTGCATACTGGGTCTGGTGCCGCTCAGGTATTCAACACCCCCAGCATGCAACAACCTGTTGGAGAAGGTAACTGAACAGCGGGATCATCAGCTGCAAGGGGCTGTGGGCTGCTGTAGACACCACTCAGACCTCAAGGGCGCCCTGAGTCTGCTATAGTCACAGCAGAAAGCTGCAGGGCAACCAGAGTCACTCTCTTCCCACAAAAAATCCTCTCCTCTTTGGTAGATGCTCCCATGCCACTCAAGGGAGAAGAATGCAGAGCACAGACATCTCCTCGCACAGGATCTGCAGACCCAAAGGTCATGAGCACAGCGCTGCCCACCTGCCCGCTGGGGGCTTCACCCCAAGGCTGCCTCAGTGCTGCCTCCTGCTTCTGTCCTCCTCTCCTCGGTGTGTACGAGCAGAGGGCCACTCTGTGTGTTTGGTTAGCTGTGAGTGCAGTTCTGAAGCCAGCTGGCTGCCTCATTTGCAAGCCCAGGTCAGGACGCTGTGCAGAGGCCAGGAGCATTGTTGTATCTAAGCACAGCTGCCTCTTAGAAGGACATACGGTAAATGAGAGATGGATGGCTGGGATTCTCACAGCCTATCGGTTCCTTTGCAAACACTGCTTTCTAATATCAGGACACACCCAGCACCCTTGGTGATGACAACATGAACGCACAGATGAAGTCTGATTTTTGCCATAACATTAAATGAAGATGATTTTTCACTTTGTATACTGTGTGGGTGTTTTTTAAAGCAGAGGTTTGGTTACCAGCAATGCAGGGGATTGCCAGTGAGTTAGCCCTGCAGATGCTTGCCTTCCTCCAACACACACTGCTCATACTTTTGCTTCTTTTCTTGCAAACAAAGTAGGAAGCAGCTGTACTTCCCTTGCGCAGACTTATGAAGTTACCATTTCTGCTGAGAAAGATAATACTTTGCGTCCTGCTGCTAACCTCTCTTGGTCTGTGCTGTAAATTTACAGGTCAATTGGTAACAGGAATCTGAGGGGCTGTGGAGCTTGAACCTGCTCTGAGTTACAGTGATGCACATCTGGGGTAACCCACTGACTTCAGTGAAGCTGCTCCAGATTTATGCCAGGTAATTGAAAGCAGCATTTGACCCAGGCTCTGGAAAGGCGTCTGCTGAATTATGTGTCAGGCAGTGAAGGGAATGAAGTCCTTCACACACACAGCCCTGCTCTGCCTGGTTGCTGCAGGAAGCAATTTGCAGAACCGCTTTTCAGCACCATGTGGTGACACCCTGCACGCAGCCCAGGGTGCGAGGCCATAGCCAGCACCTTCTCACTGGTAGTGAAGACCCTGATTTGCTGGGAGTGGTAATCTGGTTCCTTCAACAATCTGAACATGGCAGAACAAATTTTCCTGCCCCCCCTCCACCTCTAATCTAACCACATCAGCAACCACCACGGGCTGGACATGAAAACAAGCAGTCACTACAAGCCTTGCTCCACAGCCAGGAGCCCAGGCACCAGCGAGGTGCCCACACAAGTGCGTAACTCACACGGGTACCACACGTGTGTGGGCACGAGCCCCCCGCGGGCACAGCTACCTCACCGCACCCTGCTGGGGTGGGATACTCACCCTCGGCTTCGCCTCAATGTTTTCCCGCAGGAGCCACTCCTCGTTGAGGGTGTACCTGGCTTTCCCCGTGATGGCATCGATAGAGCCTTTGTTAATCTGCTGCTTGATGGCACAGATTAACAGGAAGAATGGCTCGCCAACTGTCTCCTGGGGAAAGGGAGAGAAATCCATGTCAGCAAACCAAACCTGGTGGCAGCACAGATGGGGCAGGCTCTGCAGGGACCCTGGGGTAACGAACCCCCCAACGTCCCTGGCTCTACAACCCCACACGGTGCTCAGGCCCACTGCTCCTGGATGCCTGCAGCACCTCTTCTCCGAGCCTCTCAGAGGCTGCCCAGAAACCCTCGGACTCGGGCCACATGGCAATGCAGGCAGGAAGGCGGACATTGCAGCTGGAGGCAACCATGCGCAATTTTGGGGGGGGGATGAGCTGTGATTGTCAGCCCCCATGTACCCCATCCAACTTTACACCAAGCAGTGCAGGTTGTGAACTACCACCAAAAGGCTATGCCAGCATTTTATAGCACGGGCAGAGACTTAGTCACTGTTCAGAAGGCTGGGGCACAAGCATAGCTGTGCCGATGGGTACATGCGTGCGCAACGCTCAGCAACAATACAAAAGTACATTCATTAACATGGGAAATTAAACATGAACATCAGGAGGAATCTGGCATACTCCTGTACAGCAACGTTCCTTGCAGCCTGACAGAGCCTATATGACAGAGCTACGTATAACATATTGCACTCTGCAGGACAACGAATGAAGCCGATGTGCACAAAAGCCAGGTTTAGAGGGACACCTGGATGCATAACTTTCTCAGATAAAGGTATTGGCTGAACCTCTCTTTGTGCTGCCTGGTTTGCCCTTGAAATCCATGGGACTAAGGCCACTGTGTGCATACACTGTGGCTCCGGGAACCACCGTTCATACTGCTCATACTGCAGCACAGCCTTGACCACAGCAAAAGAGAAAGGATCAGGGTCAACCAAGCTGTTCCCACGTGATGGCAAGCAAACAGACCATTTCACTCCTTACACTTGTCAAACTTTGTCTTATAGGATAGATGTGAATTGTGACTCTGCTGCAGTAAAAACAGAAAGCATAATAGGGACCAGCTATTTGTGACACGGTTCAGCTACAGGGTTTAATGCCAGATTTCTGATCATTTATGTCTGTTACACTGATGTGCAAGTAAAACACAAGCAATTTTCTTAAGAAACGTTTCAGTACTGGAGTACATCCCACTCTCCCTAATGTTCATGTGCAATTTCCTTCAAATGAGGCAAATGCAAATTATTGCACATTTATGTACTACCCGAGCATCACACACACCCCTGCACAACCATTCCTGCCATCTGAAATCCTGCTCAAGACAACAGATATCAAATGATTTTGATATTTCTCAGCTAGGAGCTGCTAAATCCTGTTCAATCTGCTTCTTAATTAAGACTTGGTGATTATTTTATTCTAATTGCCTTATAATTGCTAAAGCAATTAGTTTGATGTCAATTTTGATTCGGCTGCATTCAGTGCAACTGACGTTAAGACACTGCAGCAGGGCTGTAGGTGGGCACGCACCATCTGTGCCACGGTGCACGCATTTTCCGAGGGCAACTTTTTTATGAACACGGGGAAGTTCCTTGGGCCTTCTGCTGGGGTTTAATGACTTCTTGCAATGCTTCTTCTGAGCACACAACACAAAACGTGCTCTGAAGCAGACCCGCTGGTGCTGGAAATGGAGGAAGGTATGGCTTCCAGAAAGCAGAGGGACACGTGAAATAATGGGGCTAAGGAGAAGTCGAGGATTGCAAACAGAGTGGAGAAAGTGTCAGAAGACATAAAGAAAAGTTAGTTTCTGAGAGAAAGGCAAGATTATGAGACAACATGCAAGGGGATTACATTGACACCAAGACATCTCCAGGTTGCACTACTTTGCATCACTTGTGTGATGCAAACTGGCACGCTGCCACGCTGACCTGATGCATGAGGCGCTGACAGAGCGTAACAACAGCCCTGCCATGAACAGGAACTCTGCTTGTGCTCAAACACGCAGTGAGGATGACCCCGAGGCCAGATTCAGAGCCAGCTTTTGGAGCCTGCTCTGTGCCCCTTGGGAAGCTCTGGTCCTAGACACAGCTCCAGCCACAGAGAGAAGTGAGGTGCTGCGAACTGCTACATAAAAATTGAGCCAGTCCTGCTGATACCGGGGCTCTTTAATGCCTGGAATCAGCAGACACTGCATGGGTTGAAACTGATCATGTGGCACCTTCTTGCAAATGTAAACACTTGATGGAAAGGGGGCAGCCTGAGAAACTGGTGAAATGGGTGTTTCAAATCCTGCCGCAGTGTGAATGAACAAGATCTGTTCTCAGGACTCGCCGCACAGGAAATAAACTACAGTGCTCAGCCTGCTAGATACTATTTCTGTTTGTCTTCTTGGCTTTCAGACTCAGGAACTGTGGGATGTTATGGAAATCTGCAAAAGTGCTAATCAGACAGCAAATTTCAAAGAGGGGAAAGAAGGGCTGGCAGGCAGGGACGAGAGATAAAATGGCAAGTTTGGAAACCTCAAGCATTGTTCAGAAAACTCATCTGGAAACAAATCAAAACTTGGCTAGTTGGGAGAAAGGAAGTTTAACTAAAAGAGATCAGTGCTGATTCAGGACAAAAATTACTTCAAAAAAAAACACACTCTGGGGCCTTTTTTTCCTCCTATTGTGAATGTATTTTAATGAGACTTCATTTTCATTTTTGACTGAACTGTAACAGGCTCTTAAAGCTACCCAGGACACTCAAATAACTCCACAGTAATGGAAAGCACAGTTCAGGCTGGCATTACTTGAACTGCTTCATACACGATGAGTGTGGGAGGGCTTGGGTTTTATATGCTTGGGAAAAGAAAAGATTCAGAGCAGACTGGATTCACATGTTGCTGCCTGCTAACAAGGCTGACCAGTCGCTAGAGGTGTCCTCCCAGGAACATGCTAAAGTCATTTCCAAAATGTCTTGGTGAGGATGGGGTGGGAAAAGCACAGAAAACAGCTGCTTGTCCCAGGTGCCAGCTAATTTTAGGATGATTATCTATTTGCATAATGTACCAAACCTCAACTCCATCCCCCATGCAAAATTTTGGGAAATTTGGACACAGATCTAAGTGCTGTATTCCAGGTCCTTAATTTTCATTTAGCTACCAGTCCTCTGATCCTGTTAGGGGCCATGCAAAATGGTACAAAGGTATCAGACGAGGAAGGCTCTTTTCAGCATTATTCTGTCATTTTTTCTGTGTTTCTCATACAGTTTTGCAGAATCCAAGATCTACAACAGTTGTGTAAATGATGCAAGGTTTCAACCACTTTCTGATTCCAACCCCAAGGAGCAAGCCTCCTGCTACTCCTTCATCCTATCTCCTGCATGCATTTCACCCTGTCAAAGTGGTAACTCCATTGCCTTCAGGTGCCCTCCATATGTTTAACCACGAAGTGACTGTGGCCTGCCACTTCTTCCCAGTTGAAGACAGCTCCTTCAAAGCATTTTCCCCCAAAACACAAATGGACGGACTGTTAGGCAGAGCATTAATACGAAACAAATGTTTCGAGCATGTAGAGTTGACTTACAAGGGAAAATACAAGCACTTGGAATTTTTCCACTGAACAACGGCAGGGACCTTTGCAGCAGCTGTTTCAAATAGACATTGTGATTAATGGGGATAATTCAGGAATGAGAACCAGACCCATCGTCACATGTCTGAGAGCCCAGTGCTGCAGGCAGGCGGGCAGCCTCTTTTTTTAACCAAGGAATGCCTCTCTGAGGGCAACAGAGTTTGATCTGGAGGGACGCAAGGCACATGGGAGTGTTCGACTATCACTAATATTTAAATAGCTGCCTTGAGCTAAAAGCAGCTCATGCAGGGAGGTGCTTCAGAGGCTCCACACTTGATTTTGCAGCGGGGAAGGCTCTGGCTCTGCTCAGGCTGCTGGCCCTGGGCTGGGACCCCTCCGTCCCTGTGCACAGCAGTGGCTCGTGTCTGTTTGCAGCCCTCTCGTCCAGGGAGGGACAGAGGCCTCTCCAGACATTTCTGTCTCATCCGTCCCCTTCTTCCCATGTCAGCAGGCAGCAGTTTTCCTCCAATTGTGCCCCCAACCCCAACTGTGGAGCCCATGATGGACAAGCCTCTTGGAAATCAAATCTTCACTGCATTCTCTTACAGTGAGTGTTTGCCGTTCAGAAACAGGGAGCAGGCTGCACCAGGGGGTGCAGCAATGGTCCTGCCTGCTGCAGCATCAGGCTGAGTGCATGAAGCAAGGATGGGCGTAGAGCCCGGCACTGGGCACTGACCGCAGCCAGAGCAGGCTGGACAAGGGCAAGCAACCCCAGCAGCACGGCCCGTGGCATGCCACCAACACAGCCCTGGCTGCACTGCAGCGATGGCCTGCCCATGCCACCCTGAGGCCTGCCCATGCCGCCCTGAGGCCTGTGGCAGGCAGGCGGCCAGGCGGGTTCAGCTGATGGTGGGCACCAGCACCGCTTTGCACAGGCAGCCCTGGCCCCGGCCCTGGCCCCAGCCCCACGGTGGGCACCCCAGAGGCCTGCCGCTGTGGCCAGCTCCCCGCCAGGTGCCAGGGGAGTGGTGGCACAGGCGCTCGGGAGCTGCATCACCATGAACTAGCTCTGTAACGTGCCCGCTTCCTCAGGCCCACGTGATAAGACTTGACTTTCTTCCCTCTTTATTTTTTTTTTCCCCTGAGAAAGCTTTCTTGCATAATGTCCATTTTTAGCAGAACTGGAGCTGGATCAGATGCCTCACATGTGGGCTCCACTCTCCAAAAGGAGAGATCAGCACTTTTTCCCCCCAATGGTTAAACTACAAGCATAAAAACTAAAGATTAAAAAAAAATCACTAATTCACTCTTTTCTTCTCTGACAGGCTGGAAAGCCATGCTCCACCAGCACAGCCATCCCTTTTCATTCCCGTGACTTTTCTTTCATTATGGTGCATAATTATGTGAGCTAAAATGAAAGATTAAGAACTACAAAGCCACAAGCTTTAGAACAAAAAGTGATCATCAGCTGGGTTCAGAAGACCTGATATGTATAAAGACAATGAGGTATTGCTTCTGTGGCTATAGCAAACACTTTGCAAAAGAGATTTTTCAAAAGGCCTTTTCTAGGCTTTCCCCTGTGGATATAATGGGGTGTCCTCCAATTAGCTGCTGTGGAATCAATTATGTTATTGCTCAATTCTTCTGGGAAATTCCAACCAGAACTGGCAAGCATTGGAGATAAAGCACTGAGCAGATGGAGATGCTCTGAGATGCCAAATATATTCCTCTTTGGTTACTGTAGGAAGCTAGTCAGGCTTCTGGGACAGACATCCCCCATCTCCTGTTAAGACTTGTCTGGGCAGCGTGGAACCATAAGGACATGTCCAGAGCGAGGAGCACCACACACACGTGGGCACTGACAGCTTAGCAGCCTTCCTGCCCCTGCGCCACAATCCCCTCCTGGGCTCTTGTACTCTAGACAAAATACTGAACTAGCTGGCGACCATCAGTGAGGCTATGTGAGTTGGTCAGGGAAAACAACAAATAATTGGAACTGTTCCCAAAACCTCGAGCCATTGTGGTTATGTTTCAATTTCCCCATGAATCTCTTCTCAAGCATGGTAACAAATGCTAGCTAGTGCTCTGGCCTTACAAAAAGCAGGCCACACCAGGAAGGCTGCCATGAAGTTTGATCACAACAAATTACCAGGCAGAAATGGAGAAGCAACTGAACTCACAGTTGCTTTTTCACACTTGAACCTTTCAATCTGTTGAAGTTTGTCAACCATTAGTGACAAGGCAAAACTGGCGAGTATTTAGGTCCTCAGCTGAATCACATGTCCCTTGTTGCCCCTGCATGCAATGCCAAACCTGCACCTACAACAGCACTGATCTGTTTATCTTACTCTGAGATAGCTGTACATGCAGATGGACATCCAGTTGGTGAGCATCTTCTCCACTACAGATTCAGTTCTCCTCAGCATCAGCTTGGGATTTTTGGAAGCTGAAGCATCAATTAGATCCACCAGGAGGTCCTTCATGATGCTGGTGTAATATTCCAGTTTCCCATGCAGCGCAATAGTAAGCAGAGAGGCCAAGTTACACCTGAAGAACAGAATTGTGCATGACTTAAACACTGACACAAGAAGACTAAGTCAACAACTATCATTAAAAAAAATAGCACAAAGGCAGTGTTTCTGATAATTTTCATGAGCTCTCTCAATGGTGTTAAACTTCAAAGCCTCTTTCAACGCTGCACAACCTCAGGTCAGCCTGCATGCTCCTACTGGTAAGCCAACTGTTGAGGGACACAAACACTGCACAAGCAGGTCACACATTGCACCTTTTGGTGCTCTTCAGGATAATGGAGAAGGTTTATGGTCATTCATTTCTAATAGAAAAGTGGGATGACTGTAAGTCAACCTTCAGGTGAAATGCATGTCTCTAGACAGCGGCCGGATCACTTATGGTTTAGGGATCAATCTGTCTTGCCCAGCTGCCAGGTCTTTGGTTCAAATTTAGCCTAAATGATCAGCAGCTAAAAGCCACAGGTCTACAGAAAATGTCCATGTAGGACAAGTGACATGTGCAACAGATCCCTCCTCAGCAACCTCGTGGAGCAAAGCAGGAGCCATACGCCCACCTTTCAGAGCAGAGACCATGAGGCAGCAGTCAAGGCTACTAAGGCTCTAGCACCAAACTCCTGCAGGGCATGCATACCCCCTTCAGACAGGCTGGCTGCCTGCGTGGCTCTTCATATGGTCGTCTGAAGCTCATACCTGTCTCTCACAGCGAAGTCCTTCTGTTGCTCAAGAGCATGGACAAAAACGATGAGAAAGTGCTTGTTATTGAGCAAGGTGGAGAACAGTGATATTCCTTCTTCCATATTAGGCCTGCAGTTTTCAGGGATCTAAGGAGAAAAAATAGAAAACAGCATGAGAAAAACACTGCTTGTTGTTTTCTTCCAGCCTTCATCCTACCTGACTGTAAGGATGTCCCTGCTGAGCAGAGAAATACTGTGCAGAGACCCCTGTACTCCCTCTGCTTGTACTAGCCAACAGCATGCTTCTGTGGTGAAGGCACAACTGCATCCTGGGCTGCATCAGAAGCAGCATGGCCACCAGGCCAGGGGCAGCAACTGTTCCTCTCTGTTCAGCACTTGTGAGACCATCTGGAGTAGTGTCCCCAGTTTTGCCCTCTCCCTTTGAGATGGACATTGACAAAACAGAGCAAGTGCGTCAGAGGGCTGCCAAAACAATTAGAGGGCTGTTGCACACAGTGTACAAGGAGAGGCAGAGAGACCTGGGGTTGTTCAGCCTTAAGAAGAGGGAGTAAAGGGGATAATTTACTATGGCCTTCAACTGCACCATGAGAGGGTAAATAAGATAGAGCCATGCTCTTGTCTGTAGGTACAGTGATAGGGTGAGAGGCGAGGCACACCAGATAGAGCACGGGACATTGATTACAAATTAGGAAGAAAGTTTTCACCTTTAAGGCCATCTGGCACTGTAACAGGAGCCCCAAGAGGCTGTGGGATTTCCATCCTTGAAGATATTTCACACTCAGCTGGACAAGGCCCTCGGCAACCTGATCTAGTTGGAGCTGCTTTAAGCAGATGTCCCTTCCAACCTAAAGACACTCTGATTCTTCAGTTCATGATTTCTTGTTCACATGAAACCCAGCTATGGGATAACAGCTTTTACTGAGTCCCCACATGGGACTAATCTCATCTATGATGAACTGTGTACAGAACTGAAGTGACATACAATATGGTACACCTGGGAAGAAAGCCCACAGTGAAGCTGGGGAGGATCTTTGGGCAAAGCTTCTTCATGTGAGAGCAGAATTTCACAGATCTACTCCAATCAGTAAAAGCTGATCCAATGCTAATACGTGTTAATTGTTTCGAGTGATCGAGCATTTTCCTCACACCACAAGAAAATGCATGGTACTGTCAACACATGTGAGTATGGTTAGCAAACACTCAAGAACATTTGTTTTGTTTGTGGGTTACTCACTTTCCATTCCCCCACCAGGAGCGGGTGAGTTTCTTGGACCTGGGACCCCACCTGGGAGCTGAGCTGCTGGGAAGGCAGAATGTAGCACTCCTCATACAGCGAGGAACACTGCAACCAAACACAGCGTTAGCAGAGGGCAGCTGGGCCAGGCCAGAGACCTCCTCATGTGCCGCATACCACAAGGGAGTGAGGTGGAGAGAAATGTCATCAGGACTGAAGACCACCCATTATGAAGAAATGCACTGAAATGGTTTATGAAGCCTTTAAACACTTTGCAAGAGCCTCTTGAATGAGCAAACACCACAAGAGTGGGGGGGAGGCAGATGTCTGAGCAGACACAAGGCTGTTAGGGTAGGAAGACTGCAAATAGACTTATGTGACAGCTAGAAAATCCCAGAAGAGAAAGCATAATAGGAGAGTAAGTCAAAATAGAGAAGTACTGGATGTCTTAACATATGTAACTTTTGAAACAGATGGGAAAAATGTTTAAATCTCTAACATTCATATAACAGCCTGAATCTTAGAGAGTCTAGTGTGCAGATATATAGACTGCATAACTTAAAAACCTGAGTAATAACTACTAATGAAACACTCTGCAGTCATAAATCATCCTCTCACTCCTCACCACCGAAACGCACCAGCCTCAGGGGTGAAATACAGCAGCGGTTAGCAGCACACAGCGATGCGGCAGAGCAGCTGGTGACGGGAATTACGGCATTGTCACGTCTGGTGCTGCCTGGAGGAGGGCTGTGGGCAGACAGACCCAGCCTGCGTGCCCAAGGGGCATCTTACTGGGGGCACTGTAAGCCCAGTCACTGGCGGAGTGGAGCCAGAAGGAGAGACAGAGACAGCTAATGAGCTCTGAGAACTGGCAGCGCAGCTGGAAATTCTCACTGGCAAGCTGTGTGGAACAAAGAGCCACCTTTCCCTGAGCACTGACAGGAGATGCCCTTCAGCTTCCTCCCAACAGACAGCAGGGTGTAACTGGAGCCACTGGGAACAAAGTGGTGTCCCCAGCACCATCTCCTCACATGAGAGACGCTGCTTCCAGGGGAGGGCATCCAGTGGCACCACACTGGTGAGATAGCACAACTCCCAGACCCTGCCTCGTCTGCCTTCTAGCTCCGCCAGGCTCTGGTCATCTGCTGAGCAAGTCCGACTGTACTGCACACCCCGGGAGCTGTGGCTCCACTTTTGATAATAATTAGGGCTGAAATACATGACAACTACATATTTAACAGTGGAATGATTTTGTTACACTGTAATAACTCTGGCAGAGGGAGAGCAGAGCCCTGTTCTGGTGAGGCAGAAATTGGGTGTGATTAGGTGCCTGTGAAATGTGGTATTGCCTTACTTTGGGAAAGAAGGTCCGAGTGACAAAGTGCTTGTACTCTAGGAACGGGATCCCTTGGCTGCGGTTCAGCTCCTTGGTCAGGTCTGTCATGTCTGTCTGCAGCTCAGCAAAACCTTAGGCAAAGAGACCCGCAGATGGTAAGAGCTCTGATAATCTACCAGCAGAGACAGAGAGCAGGCAGGCTGGCACTGAAATGCATTGCTTGTCTCTTCTGCCTTCTTGAGCCTTCTTCCCTTGAGTGGGCTGAAGCAGGGTTTTCTTGTGGAGCAGATTACTTGCAGGGTTTACCTGTCAGTGCTGTACATCACATCCTGCAGCACACACACACAGAAAATTTCCCTTGCTTCCCAGAGCCCAGCCCTGAAGTCTGCTTCTGCAGAAGGATTTCAGTGCTCCTGGCAGAAGCATGTACTTAGCGGACAGCAGTGCAGGCGCTTGCCTTACTTCTCACATTGCTCTAGCAGGAACATGTTGCTGGTTTTGTTGCATCTAATCATAAAGCACACTAAAGATTTGTGTGACCTGCAAGCACCCCTCCAATGTGCCTGAGTGCACTAGCCCTGAGACAGGGAAATCAGTGGCACTGGAGATAAGTGGCTTGCCCAAGTTAGGCAGCAAGACAGGGGCAGAGCCACACTTCCAGCCACTGAGCCTCATTCGCAAATCCTGCTGAAGCACAAAGGCAATGACAGAAACTCTTCTATAAGTAATTCATTAAATTTCTACACAGAAGAAGGCGAATGTCTTCAGCCCTTCTATTATGACATCTCCCTCCCAGTGCTGGCTCCTCCATGGTGCCCAAGCATGGTGACTTACCTTTGCGAATTTCCTCCCGGATCTGTGACTCCATCTCCTCCATCTGGAGCAGGGTTTTCTGCCAGTAGCGCTCTGCTCTGCGGCTCTTCGTGCAAAACACAAAGAGAGCTGGAAGAGAGGAAAGGAACAAGCCTCTTGGACTAGGATGCTAAGAGCAGCTGAAGCTGGACCAGAGTGGTCCTCTGTTAACATGGGTGCAGAAAGCTGAACTCAGTGTTGGTTTAACACACGCAACAAAACTGGTACTGATTAGGCAGCTGTTGATTATCTGTAAATAAGTAAAACCAGCTGGACTTTAATCATCATGCTGTCACGGACATCTTCAATTCATTTCTGGGCAGTCTATATTGAGATCAATTGCGTATTAATGTAGTCCAGCTCATTAATGAATTCTGATTTTAGGAGGTTTATCACTTGTACTACAGCATTTATGTCTGACATTACTCCCGTACCTTTAGAAATATGTTTGTAATGACTAGTAGTGCATTTAATAAGTAGTGTGCATTATAACTTTTATTAAAAATAAATCAAATCCCTATTAGAAACACCTCATTTGCTGTGAAATGATGGGTTTCCGGCTGCACAGTTACTCTGGGCACATGATGAAAAAATACCCTAGCCAAAGGACACAGGTGCACTGTGCAGCTTCCAGTGAGGTTAGCAGACTGTTATGTCCGCTCCAGATCTGCAGCTAAGGCTGCTTGTTCTGGTTTTTATAGTCTTTGTCAGGCATCTGCCACTGTCTGTTACTGATGGGTCAGATGGAGCTCTGCTCTATGACAGCCACGCCTGTGAGTGAGTCCTATTCATGCTGGTAAGAGTCCAAGATCAGTTTCTCACACCCTTCTTTACTTTGTGTTATAGTAGCTACTCAATACTATTAAGAAGTGTTTGGGGAAAAAGAGGATAGTTATTTATAAACACCACAGCCTCAAGTAAAAGTGTTAAACTAAGGATTCACCCAGCAAAAGCTCCACACTGCAGGAAGCTTTGATCCTGGGTGCTGGCTTGGTCCCACACAAAGAAGAATGGCTACTGGCTGCATCCAGACCAGTTTCAGATGCTGCTCAATTGCAGCACTTAGAGGTTTCCTAACATATGAGCAGGCAATCTTCACCTCTCCACGTGCACAAAGAAAAAATCTCAACATAGCCTGGGAACGTATCATCCTGTTCCCTTACCTACGACCGAGAGAACCAGCAAGATGCTGCAGATGACAATGGAGACGATGATTGCAGTCTCTCCTCCCCCGAGGTGCAGCATTGCAATTGTGTAGTTGAACTTTCCAACTTGGATCTGGAGAGGGAAAAGGAGGGAGGAGAAGCAAGAGCTGAGCAGCACGTTACCAAAGGGCTCAGAGGTCAAGCAACGAGGGGCCCAGCGCAGCGCTCAGCAGACCTTCACCCAAGGACACGCTGGCCCTGCTGGCTCAGCCCACCGGGCTTCTCAGGGAGGCCAGGCTGTGCCTTTCACTGCCAGCCCATGGGGACTTTGTGTGTGTCAAAGCAGCCCAAGTCTCTTCCTGCATGTCCTGGTGGAAAGCCAAGGCTGGCCCACAGCACGCTGTGGCACCGTGCCCCTCACAATGCCACTGCAGGGCTTTGAGGGCAGAGCTGCAGGCTCCATCTCACATCACGGCCCCACCACACCCAGCCCAGAGCACAAGGCAGCCCTGTCCTAGAGAACTGACGGTAGCATACAGTACTTGCTGTAATACTGTTACTAGAAAACCACTTTCACTAATCATCCAACTTTGTTATGCCCCAGAATGGCCTTTTAGTCCCAGCTGCATTCTCCTTTCTTCTCCAAAAGCAGAATGGCTGCTGCTCAGGAAAAGGAGAGTAAAGAAACTTGAAAGTTTTTGAAATACAAATAAAGTAAGGAAACAAAAATAAATAATAATGCGACTCGAGACAAATAATGATCTTGTGGTTAAAGCAGTGGACTGAATGTCAGGAGGAGCTGGCTCTGCTCCCAGTCCACACTGCTTGTGGCACCAAGCACAAACCACTCAGGCTCAGGGCTTTGGTCTCCTGACCACCATAAAGGAAGAGGCCAGCACACATCACAGGCAGGTTGGTGAGTTTTCTCAGCGCTGTTTATAAAAGGTTCCCTACACTTCTGGGATGAAAGGGTTCAACAGCATCATCTGATAAGGAAAACTCATGATACAACATATCTTTCGCTTCTGGAAATGTGTTTCACTTCCCTAAAGAAATGGGAAGTGAGAGAAACTTGAACGAAATATTGAAAGAAGGGAGGAGAAAGTAGGGAAGAGATGGAATGATCTTACAGCTACATCTGTGTCACGGAGCATCTCCAGGAAAGGTGTACATCGTGGTTACCCTGCAGACAGCTCTCAGCACCCCGGCCCATGCAGTGCCACAGGCAGGGCATCCCGCCACATCCATGGCATGAGACACGCTGCCGGTCCCTGCGCAGGCGGCGGAGGAAGGACGGCCCTGGCGAGGGTGCTCGATGCCCAGGGAAACGTGAGATGGAGCCACGAGTGCCTGCAGGTTCTGTGCACCCCAACCTCGAGGGCTTCACTTGTTTCATCTGAAATGCTGCAGCATGGCAAGTCCTGCTTACCTTTAGAGCCATTTATTTCCAATAACTTAACCTCTCATGTTTGTCAGAGGAGAAATCCCATGCTTGCTGTTTGTGTCTAAGTGGTTTGGTCATGAACAAAAAAAGGGGTTGAAGGCCTCAGCAACCTCTCTTGTTTGTTTGGACAGTCTATTCAATACAATTTTTGTAAGTGGAATTAATTAGTCTGAAGGTTAAATGGCAACACTTCCTGTGGCCACCACAGGGTGGGTGCAGAGATCGGCCGGGCCGCAGTGGGGGCAGCCAGCGCCGGGCAGGACAGACACGGGCAGCACCAGCACTAAGCCAGCCCGGAACTGAGCCCCATCCTGCCAGCACCCTCCAGGAGAGCTGCCCAGCAGCCCCTGAAGCACAAGCCCCTTCCTCAGCACCACTGCTTCACCCCATACAGCCCTGCTGCCTGTGCGACCTGTGAGCGCTGTCATGGCCCAAGAGCACAGCCATGGAGCGGGCACCCTCAGGACCGTGGCTGGAGTAGGGATCAACAGCGGGACATGCTCTGAAGGGCTGTTTTCCCTCACTGCAGATGTGAGCTCTACAACAAAGTCTGGGCAGTCACAGCAGGCATTTCAGCTCACCAGAAGAATTTGCATCAGCCAGTGAGCCGGTGGGAGTTCTGCAGGCTCCGATAACTGTCAGCGATGCAGATCAGGTAGGGACCATTGAGCAAATCTGGCCCCGTGCTACCAAAGCTATTAAAAGTATGTTATAAAGGCAGCTGTTGCCTATGAAACGGCCAGCAGGCAATAACTCAAACCACATATGAAGGTTTAGTAAGTGCACACAGAGATGAACGCAAGCTGATTATTTAGCTGCACTCTCACTGTTGGTACACTGTTAATAGCTATGCAATACTTCGGTGCTGGTTATCATTCTCCTGCTTCCTAAGGATCTACTGGGGCATTACCCTGAATGATTTACGTCAAACCCCAAACTAGCAAACTCATAAATTCCCTTTGTTCCCCAAGGGGATTTCTCTGTTTCTCAGTTCTCACTAAAAGCCAAAATTACCCTATATAAAATTTCCATTCAAATGTCTTAAGAAATCCTGCTACTTCTGCATTTCCATGTTTCCAGTTTGCAAGAGAATTTCACATACAACAGACCACAACCAGCACGCTGGATAACCCCGCCAGTGAGCTGGTGCTACATCAATGTGCTCACCTTCTGGGCAGTGCAAGACCACAGATGCCCCAAATCCCTCTGCACTGGTCCTCCCCCTGCCCACACCATGAGCTTCTGCTCACTTGATATTAACCCATCAAAGGGACAAACTCAGCTGAGAGAGAGGATGCAGGTTCCCAGACCATGGAGATGGAGGCATTTTCTCTCCAAGTATGAAGAGCTGTAACCACATCCCTGTATGGCAGTGGGCTGCATAAGAAATGAGAGAAACTGAGGGAAAGAAAAGCAGGAAGTCAAGTTCTCTACGAAAAAAAGACCCTAACAAGGTATAGGGAGTTTTGCAGACACTTAAAGACAAATGACAGCCCTGAATACCAAGCTCTCTGCAGTGACGTAACAGTGACCCTGGGAAGAAACCTGAAACTTCCCAGGCCTGGGTACTCCTCCTGTGCTCACCACAGGCACCCATCTCCAGTGGTTTGCTGCAGAGCAGTAAGGTTCAGGTCTTCCTCTCCACTTGTAGCTCTTCTGCTGGCAATAGGAGTCTGATGACTGAAAACTGTGTGGAAAACCCCAAACTCATCTCACAAGGGCCAGAAAGAAAATTACTGCAAGTGACAAAAAATCACATGCCTGGGACTTTACAGTGCCTTACAAGAACTGAGAAGATCTCCTGCTCAAAGATTACAGAAAAATTAATTCAACATTCAACTGGCCGTGATGAATGGCTGGGAGCATGGCAGCCCTCCTCCACAACTTGGGGCAGCTGCAGCATGCCCTATACCCCACCACAGAAGGAAGCCTTGAGACACCTGCAAGCACAGGGTGTTTTGTCCGTCCTGTCTGTGCAGCTTTCTGCCAGGCTGCCTGTGAGCGGCTGTGTCCAGCCGTGACTTCACGACCGACTCCCTGGCATGCAGGGCACGCAGCACCAACCCCTTCTGCCTGGAAAAGCGCAGCCTGCAGGCTTCTGGCACTTACCGTCACTGGTAGCTGTCTTTCCGAGGTGCTCAGGGACTCATTTACAGAGCAGTGAATGACTTTGTCTGAAACAATCTGGATCTCGCATGAGATTAGACCAATTTTCACTTGGTACTCATTGCTTTCCAGGCCCAGGTTGTCAGGCTCTTTCTAAAGACAAAAATAAAATCAGGATGACAATCTCCAGAGTAGCAGTTGGAATTGTAGGGGGTTTTCCTGCTTTTCTTTCTGTATTCCCTGCTGTTTTTCAGGCTTGGGAACACTCTCCCTCTCCGAGAACATTTTTCCAGCACTCCATAGGAAACCCAGAACTAAGCCATTCCCCATTTTCCTGTTTCCCATTCCACACTCAGCATGGTGCATGGGATGAGCAAGCCCCTCTTGGAACCTGGGAAAATCTGCTTTTGATCTACCCTGGCTGAGCTCTGCAGATAAGGATCTGAGCATCCACCTGGGAGGGGGAAGGATGTACAACAGAGGAGACAGCGAGGGGATGTGACTGCAGGGCCCGAGAAAGGGGGAGTGTGCTTCTGAAGCACGTTGCAACCCCTGAGGATATCCTGCAGTGAACAATGGCCTTTGAATTAGTGCTGCACATTGTACAAGCCACTCTGAATTGCTGTACCCCGACTTCCTTGTTAACTGAGCTGATATCAGCAGCCAAAACAGAAGAATGCATGACTGGCTCCTGCAGGAATAAATATCTATTGTCAGGGCCTTCTGGAGTACCTGCCTGATTTCACGCCAGCGCGTTATTGTTCTTTTTCACATATCTAGCATTTTATTTAGCTGCTTGCTATTACATCCTTCACGCACAGCTCTCTGTTGTGATGCCTCAAAGAGCTGCATCTCCTGGTGAACGGGAGGCAGGCGCGGCAGGCTAAGCATGAGCTGCCCGATCTGTGCACAACTCCTGCCTCTCCCACCCTCATCTACCACCTTTACTGGGGCTGTGGACAGACACTGTACTAGTCCTCCGTTAGGCTGAAAAGCTTCCCGGTGAGGAACAGCAACGCCCCTGAAGAAGCAGAGCTGTAAATAGCACTCTCTTACGTGTATAACCAGCGTCAAGGGCTCGCCAGGGTGGTGCTTAATCCACTTCTCCTTCTTGGCTGTGAAGAACTGGGGGTCAGCATAGTACTCCAGGCTGAACTTGCTGATGTGCAGGGCCTCCTCTGGGTACATCTCCTCATCCAGAGCTGGGCGGTCATCCGTGTAGAGGCGACCATTGAGATAGAAATCAACGGGTGCAGGCTTGCTCCCCGCAGTAATGTTGGAGGCAGCAGGAGAGGGGCAGGTGATCACAGTGTCGTTGTGAACCTTACAGCTCTGAAAGCACATGAGAGTACGTCCATCAAAAAAGGCATCCTGAGTGCCCTCACCCACCCAGGAACCACCCAGCATCAAGCACACTGATAGCACCAAGGACATAGTTGATAAAAACAATTACTGCGTGGGCATGAATTAGGCCTGTCCCTCTGCTGAGCTAAGGATCATAACATTTTCATCCTTGCTCCCAGCCCAATCTGCAGCATGGACTAAGGCTCATCTTCATACCCCAAATATCTTTGGGCACAGAGCATGCATCCCTGCTCCCAGCTACTGGGTGACAAAGAGCAGGGCACCCACCGTTTGCTCTCTGCCAATGCCACGGACCATCATGGACACGTTCTGGACGAGCTCAAAGCCTCTTCCTTCCAGGGTGATGATCCTGCCCCCACTTTGAAGACAAGGGAAAAAAGAGAGGGTGATTGCAGAGGAGGTGCTCTTGATGCCTTGATGCCAGCACACAGCATTGAGGTACAATGGTTAGGTCTCACCTCCTGTCATTTTCCCAGGGATGTTTCCTAGCTGTCTGAGCGGAAAACATAACCCAACGGACAAAGACCTCCTCTGACTTGCCACAAACATCTATACTGCTGCTGAGATAGGAGGGAAGGAAGGAGGAACAGCTGTCCTCATGGAAAGGGGTGATCTCTTCCAGCAGCAGACTGTTCCCTTTGCTCCCCTCGCCCAGAGGAGCAGCCTGCCTCTGCGTGCCCAGGGTACAAGCACATTGCCCGGGCCACCAGTGGTGTAAGAGGTTAATCTCTGACAAGGCAAAGAGCAAGGGGATATTCCCTGTCCTGCCCCACAGTGACCCACAGAGAACTCTAAGTCTTGGGGAGCGAAGAGACCCCTGTGAGGTTGACATGGCTCCTATATCTCCCAGTTGCTGCTGATTTAGATAAAAATGTGAAAATTGTTTTGTGTTTTGGTTCTGCTGACTGGGAAATGTGAAATATGGGCCTCAAGGTGTAGCCAATTAGTGACAGTAACAAAAAGGCTTGCTACACACAAGACCCCTAGGTAAAAGAAGGGGTGGAGAGCAAGCAACAGCTCTTCTGCTCTGGACAGCAGAAGTATCCTGGTTTCAGCTGGGATAGAGTTAATTTTCTTCACAGCAACTGGCATGTTGCTGTGTTTGGGATTTAGGATGAGAATAATGCTGATAACACACTGATGGTTTAGTTGTTGCAGGGCAGTGCTTGCACTAAGTCAAGGACTTTTCAGCTTCTCATACTGCTTTGCCAGCGAGGAGGCTGGGGGTGCACAAAAGCTGGGAGGGGGCAGAGCCAGGACAGCTGAACTGGCCAGAGGGAAGGGACGTTCCACACCGTGTGCTGTCACGCTGAACTACAAACTGGGAGAGCTGGCCGGGGGGGCTCGGGGACTGGCTGGGCACTGGTCAGCAGGTGGTGAGCGATTGCATTGTGCATCGCTTGTTTCGTATATTATTATTATTACTATTACTTTATCCCTTCTTTTCTGTCCTATTAAACTGCCAATATCTCAGCCCCTGAGTTTTCCTTTTTTTTTTTTTTCTCGATTCTCTCCCCCATCCTGCTGCAGTGGAGGGAGCAAACTGAGTGGAAAGTGTGGTGCTGAGCTGCCTGCCAGGTTAGACCACAACAAGAAGCTATCCCCTGAATTTATCTTCCCCTTCCCCAGTATCATACATTTGAAGTATCTGTCAGGGAATAGCCAGGACTTACAGACCCTATTATCTCAAGAACACACTATATTCGGTGAGTTTGGGTCCGAGGCCCTAAGAAATCTCTTCCAGTGCTGTAGATACTACCACACAGACCTAAGTTTCTAAGTGCCTGTCACACCTGCAAACTAGTTTACAACTTCTGTTCTGTATTAAACTTTGCTTGCACAGATCATTTTAGCAATTTTAAGATAAATCTAATATAAATCAGATCCAGCTGCATTTTTACACAGCTATTGACCTTTCAGAGTCAGTGCCCCGGCAACACAACAGAGCAGTCAGAACACATCAGCGACCAGGCAGTCTGAAGAGAGAGGTTGCTCTCTCAGTGGTCTGAAATTTGGAGACTGATGTAAATATTAAGAAAGCAGACTAAGGTGATGGAGAAATACCCTGGTGGTTTCCCTTTTGACTGTGGGCAGTGACATTCTTCCACTGTCTCTGTGTTTAGATACAGCTCTTGCCACTCAGCACAGTTTGCAAGCCGGCTGGGAGCTGAGCTTGGCTGAGTCACGGCTGTGCCTTGTTATTAACTTTCCCACAGCCTGCATCTTTGGCTCTGCGTTTGGGAATGCCGAGACACAGCTTTGCTCCAAGGGGAGCAGATCATTGGAGTCTGCTGCATGCTCGCGCCCTGAGCGTGCTGCCTTCACTGCTGTCCTGGAGGCACCAGCGCTGGATTCTCAGATTTCTTGGTCAGCCTTAGGTTTGCCAGGCTCCACAGCTGAGGAAGGTGGGATTTCACCAAAGGAACAGGAGCCTGAGAGCTCCATAGAGAAATGTGAAATTAAAAGCAACACACTTTAAAAATGAAATACGGTGGCCTCAGGGAATGCTGAATACCAAAATAACAAATCTCAGCTTATCCTTCAGCAGTTTTATTGCCAAGAAAAATCTTTGGGGTCTCATACAGCCCCCATGTGAAACTCCCTAAAGCACCTACCAGGTGCAGACAGTACAGTTATCACGGCTGACTTTTTTCCATGTCCCATATGCACTGAAATGAGCTACAGCCAGCCTTGGTGCAAGAGACCTCTTCTACTCCAGAGCTGCATGCCCTGCAGTACCCCTTTCATACCTGTCTGTGATGCAGTGGGTCAGGCCCCAGGGCTGAGAAAGCCCCTTCCTGCCTGCAAGACCCTCCTCCCAGCCAGGAGCCAACCCCACTCCTTTGCAGGCAGATGCAGACAGGATCCTGCTCTGAAATGGAAGTTGTGGTGCTGCAACAGCACGCCACGGGGCCCAGATTGCACACCCTGCCTCCTGGCTGCGTTTTAATACTGCTGGGGCTCTGGACGTGGGGTTTGCTCAGAAGCTGCTCTGTGTCTGGGTGGCTCGAAACACAGAGAGAGCTCACATTGCCTGCAGTGGGCCACATCAGGATACTCCACTTAGCACTGCACTTTGATGAGACCGCAATGTTCACATTTGCATCCAGCAAAATTAGGAGGCTGATTTCAACAAGAGCCATGAAAAGATGGACACCAATGGCAGACTTGGCTGCCTCTGCTGGAGGGGAGATCTCACCTGATCTGGCTCTTTTTGGGGTTGATGTCGGTTATAATAGGGTTCTTCTCATACTTGAACGTGATGTTGTAGCTGGCACAAGACCTGTTCTCGAACTGGACGCAGACTCTCACAGCCGTGGTGAGCTCGGCAGACGGCATGGTGCAGGTGATGGTGCTGTCGTTGCGGCTGCACAGGGAAAGGCAGGGCATGCTGCAGCACAGGGGAGCCAGGCACCACTGACCTGAGCTCCCTGGGAGCAAGGTGGTCGGCAGCCAGGCACAGAGCGTCCAGTCACATGCCAACTGCCCACCGGTTATATTCCCCATGGACGAACAATTCTAATCACACTCTATCCCGGGCTGCCACACTGATTTCCCATATAGTCAACAGAAAAGGGCAGGCTCCTGCTTCTCCACACGGACAGCACAGGTTGAGGAGGGTTGTCTTCCCACCGCAGGGCTGTGGCAGAAGCAGGACCCTGGATGGGCAGGTGTCTTCTACCTCCAGCAGACATAGGAACAAAGCCAGTGTCTGCTTCACTCCCAGGGTTTCAATCCCAATCCTAAACCACCCTAGGGGCACAACAGCGCTATGAACCCACAGACACGGGGCTGGAGGGGTGCTGGGATGGAGAGGGTGGCAGGCAAGGGGCTGACCGGGATACTGCGCTAGCTCCGAGACCAGCGGCAGTATGCAGTGCCCACCACCCACCACCCACCACCCGGCTCTGCTGGGGACAACATCTGTCTAACACGTCAGCTCTTATCAGTAGCTGACAACAGCGAGGTCCGAGCGCCGGTCTTCAGAGCCACCCCCACCTGAGGTCCGTGCACTGCCTGGAGCCGTTGACAAGGACGCGGAGCTCAGAGCCAACGTCCAGCCTGCTGCCTCTGATGGTCACTCTGGTTCCTCCAGCCTTCGGGCCGTTCGGGGGAGCTATGGACTGCACCACAGGAAGCTAAAAACAGAGGGAGAAGTTCTCAATTGTTTTCTAGCTTGGTAAATTCACAATTGGGTACTCCAGAGTGCACATGGGAATTGCTGCAGTAAATTTAAGCATCCAGCATTGCGAGGCTCTCAAACAGCAGCACAGCAAAAGCTTTTGCTGGCTTGGTTTCAAAGCAAGAGGAGAGGCACAAGTGCTGAGGAGTGAGACTGTTTATAAACTCTGTGACTCTCAACAGTCCCTAAATTGTGGCTATAAATAACAGGAGTCCAAATTGGAGTCCAGGATGCCACCAATCCCTTGAGATTTCCAACGCAGAGTCCAGAGCTGGGAGGTAGCAACTCAAGATCCATCAGGGTGGGAAATCTCTCATTCATTACAACTCGCACCATTTCTGTCCTTCCACATCCATTTCCTCCTGAATGCAAAGCTAATGCTAAAGCCCTGCTGGATGATGGCCTCGAGATCTGTGAAAACAGACACCTGGGTCTAGATAATTGAACACCAAACTCCTCCTTAAGGAAGCTTCAAACTCCAGTCTCTAGAGGCAAGAGGAACTAATGGGGAAGTTACTTTGTCTCTCACCATTTTCAGCAGAAATCACCATGTATGTTATCTGCATTTGCAGCCCCTGGAAATCTCCCTGAGATTCATGAGCCTGAGGCTCTGATGACTAACACAGCGCTGAGCCCTCATGTCGCTACACAGAGCGCCCCAAGAGAGCCTTCTGGGCAACTTTCCTGCTCCATTTTGGATAGAACACTGAGGGCATAGCAAATAATTGCTTCAAGACCCTTCCATAAAGGACTTGGTAATTCCCTGTCAAACACCACAGAACCCTGGAGGCGCCAGAGATGCAGAGCGCGGCTGCAGCCTGCCCACTGCTACGCCCCGTCCTCCTGCAGCTGCAGAGAACAAAATCACCCAGAGGCTAGGGCAGCACACGTGGCTGAGCTGCTTCGCATCGCCTGGCGCTGATATGCCTCCCTGTCAATCTCAGCCGTGTAAACATGCTTATTAATAGCTATCCTTGCCCTTGTCCTACACTCAGACTGCTTTTATTCCTCCACAGCCATTTTCTCTGTTGTTTCTGTTTGTTACCCATTTCCACAGGATTTGTTTGTTGATTTGTATTTCTCTAAGCGTCTGTAGGCAGCTGTCTCCTGCCCTTGGCCACTAACCTATGTATTCAACAGCGCAATTACAACAGCAACAGAGAGGATTATTCATGTTTCCAAAGCCCTCCAGCTCTTCTCCTCAGCAACAGTCAGTGGCTGCTGCTCTCAGCGTACTGCCCGCATTCATCGCTTCCATCGCAACCTTAGCAAATTCAGCTTATTAGGCAAATTCAGCTCATCTATATCCTGCTATAATGTCCTGAAAAAGTCTCTGGAACACATTTCTCCCTTCTCCTCAGGAGTTACAGCCAAACTCTGTCTCTCCTAGATATGTCTAATAGCAACGTCGATGGGCATTGCACACAGACAGTATTTGTTCTTCTACGAAGGACCAGTGCTTCTTTGCAAAGGCTGTTCTAAAGTCTTTTAATCTTTTTCAGGTTAACTGATATTAACGTTCACCTTCAGGTCTCACTGACACCAGCCTTATGTGATGGAGCCTACTCTATCTTCCGATCATTTTATCTAAGAAGAGAATCAAGAAATCTGACAACATTGCTTCGTTTGCAAGCGGTGTGGAAGTCCCAGTGTGGAAGGTGACAGCAGCTACACGTGGTGCAGCATCACACCCCCAACATGAGCACACAGCAAGGCATCATCTCATCTGTTTTTAAGCTTTGCTGAGAAGGCTGACCAGGCTGAGATAAACAGACACAAGACAGCTTGCTGCTGTGACACTTGAGCAGAAATATTTCTCCCTGCTCTCCAGGAAGGGGAGCCTTTGCCATAAGCCTGCGAGAAGCTGGCACAGAGTTGGTTCATGTTCAGAGACTGGCTTTTGCTTTTCTTACTTCATTTCGTGCTGGTGCTTTTACAGGTGTTTCCTGAGAGGACTTTTCCTTGGACGCTAAGAGGCCGTTGAGCCTTTTTCCACTCTTCGGGTCTTTCTCTTTGTTAACAGGACAATTGGCCCTGCAGCAGGTGGTGTGACTCCTTTTGTGGAGGCAACACACACATCCTGATGACTCATGCATCAGAAATCCCAAACCCAGGGTCTGTACTGGGTCATACCCCATTTCTACCTTGTTCTACTCCACACTGCAGGACCTCTTAAGTATTTTGGATGTGAACATGAACTCCTGGAAGCTGGGAATGGGTACCAAAGCAAACACCCTCCCAGGAAGTAGTGCTGAGCCAGCCCTGGCAATGCTCTTCCCTTCACCAGGTCCCTCCGTGATGTGCGCTGCCAGCCTTGGCTCTGCTACAGAACACTGGAAGTGCTGTGCCTGTGTCAACCTAAATACCTACCAGGCAATCAGTTACAAGGGTGGGGGGATGGAGCTCAATGATCCTGTCCTAAATTCTTCACAATAGCTACCAGGAATCGAATGTCATTTCCTGGGGTTCAAGTCTTCTTTCAAGCCACTAGACTGCAGTATAGTCTATTCTTCCCCAGAAAAAGCAACAGCATAAGCACAAAGAGTCCAAGTAAACAGCATGCCCTCGGCACCCACCCCGTTGTGTTGGCCCTGGATGCATGGGGCTACTTGTGAATAGCGTCTAGCCAGAGATGAGGGTGCTTGTAGGAAAGAGAGCAGCCGCATAGATTTCTTTTAGGTTTACAGAGATGAAAGTCATCTCTGTGCAACGGCACAGTACAAAGCTATAAAGGGCTTTTCTTTTCATAATGACACGGGGTTAGCTCAAGTCTAATCCCTACGCAGGATTCTCATGCAAAAACTAAGACAATCTCTGCAGCAAAAAACATCAGTTCTAAACAGTGTGAGTTCATGGTACATAACTTACATAGCAAGAAGAGACTTTGTGATTCGCATAAAATCTCACAGGTCATAATGGCACTTTAGCAAAAGAAGAGGAAGAAAAATGAATTCCTTTTTATAGCAGGAGAAGCAGAAATGCAAGTAGGATAAGTGAGAAAACATTTCAAGAGTTGAGACTGGAAGCTAGGTTGCTTGATGCAAATTGTGTGCCATGACACCTTGGCTGCAATCCTGCTTCTTGCTCTCAAGTTTGCATTTGCTAGACATTGTTCAGGTAGCCAAGGGTAAGAGAAAACTTCACCTGCTCTTCAAGGACTCTGACGAGTTTTATCATAGATCCTCTTTTCCTAAGCCAACTGGGGGCCTGAGGGCTCTAGGATTTTTCAAGGGGCAACAAGGAACATAAACATGAGAGTCACCAAAGAAGCTCCCACTAGGCAGTCACTCACCACGTAGGAGTATCTCTCCTTGGACTTTCCTTCCCGGCTGACGTTAACAGTTACCACATCGGAAAACACCTCCAGAGCCTCTCCGGTCTGGCACACGATCCTGCAGGCCAGAAGGAGCGGGGTTCGCAGGCGGGCACAGGTGCAGAAGCCACCTCGCCCCAGCAGAGCTGGGCACAGCCCGCGGCTCTTCGCCCAGCACCCTGGCTGCAGATGGGGACTGGCAGGCGCCGGGGGCTGCTCCCAGCCTGGCTGCCGCCCTGCCCCATGCCTCGTGCACCGTGCCCCAGGCCCTCCCTCGGGTGGCGAGGAGCCAGCTGGAGAGGGTGAAGGGCCCAGCGTGTCCTATCCCACCCCGCACCATCCCCTCCCCAGCTTCTCCCACACTCACGCCTCAGAGACGACGTATCTGTGCGGCAGCGGCGCGCAGGGCACGCTCCCTATCCTGACAGCGCCGCGGATGTCGCTGAAGCGGCGGCCCAGGTTCCTCCCTCGGATGGTCAGCAGGGTACCCCCCTCCAGCGGCCCACGCAGTGGCTCAATCTGCTGGCACCAAGGGAGAGGTTGGAGGAGAACCACCAGAAGCTTCTTGCTTCAGCCCCTGAACTGTCCCTGTGCCCATGTCAGGGTCCCACCTGGCCTCCCACAAGGGCGAACCCGCTGCTCATGCCACAGCTGCCCTGCGGCATGCCTGGCACCAGGGTCCCTGCACGGCAGCTTTGTAAATGAGGGGTCACACTGTGGGCTGGCTTTGGTACCGGGGCTTGGCCAGGGCTTACTCCAGCTGCAAGCACATCTGGGGGGAAACATCATCCCTTCTGTCCACACAGCAGCTTCACAGAGAGGTGGGGAGAGACAAACCCAGCGACGCGGAAACCTAGAGGAAGGATGCCAGTGCACTGGAAAGAGACAGCCCTGCCGTCACATTTTTAAGGACTGTCCTGAACAGAGCAGGGTCTTTCAGGACAAAAAAAAAAAAAAGGAGGGGGTTCTGTGACCTGGAACATGGCCCAGACACCAGCACCCTGTGACACAGGATGAGTCCAATGACTCTGGGCTGCTCCCTGTCCATCCTGCCAAAACTGTTTTTTTCATCTGGTACTGATTATTCAGTGGGTTAGATAAATCCATATAGAATACTGAATAGGGTTCAATATAGAAACATCTCTTTTCCTTTTGCAAATGCAATGGCAAACTGAGCCAGTGGAATGTGCCTGGTGACACCAGCTGGTGCTGGAGCACATTTGGTGAGGCCATGACCTGAGGCTGCTGCCAGCACCCCCCAAGTGCAGCAGCTCCTTCCCCAGGCAGGGCTGGTCGCCACCCACCCCCCAGGCTCCATGCCCTCCCTGGCCTGCTGCACTGCTCTGTGCTCCCAGGAGGGCTCTGTGAGGGCCTGGCTGCTTGTGTGCCTCCAGAGGATTCAGATTTACCATCTACTGTTTGCTAAGGAAATAGCAACAGAGCTGTGACACTCTGCAAACTGAACTGCGGTTTCCTTCCATTATTTTCTGGCAAGGTGCAGATAACACTTGATATGTACCAGGGGAGGATTGGCTCATGGGGGAGCAGCTCTCTCCCATGACAACAGGGAATAGGCAGGCAGTGGGGATCCTGCAGCATGTCCACACAGTGTTACAGCATGCGGATTTTAAGCAGGTATCACTACATGCCTCCTGAAGAACAGAGACCCCAGATCTTTGCCAATTTTGAAAATATTGCAAGGGCTGTTTTCCCACTCCAGCCTCCTCTCCTTTTCCAGTGAGCTTCTTTTAAGATTTGCTCCATATAGTTTCTTTGCTACTCTTCGGGGACAAATTTGTTGGCTCATACCTTACATCTAAGCAGAACTCCAGGTCCAAATGCCCCCTCAAACATTAATTCAACTGCAATTTAAATAAAACTTGTTTCAAAATGCATAATGCCAAAAGGGCCCTCTGCCACTGTTAATCTCAGAACTGCAGAGCACATGCGTTTGGAGATAGGGCACACGTTCACCTTTCAGCTATATACCATTAAATGCTATTTCTGATAAGAATCCTTCAGCTGTTCCTACAAATCTTTCTTGCTTTTACCAACCCCAGTACCCCTAGCACATTTTGATTGTGCTGTTGTTTTTCCCAACATGATGAAGATTGGATCTTGTCACTAGAGAGATGTCTTTGGCATATACTTTCGGGTGACTTAACAGCACAAAAAGCCAGTGAATAATTCAGCACTGGCCTTGACCCTGCCTTGTGTCAGGGACACAGAATGGCTCCTCCTCTGTCCCCTGGCCTGGGACAGCACAGCCACTGCCTGCCCTGCCACGCTCGCCCTTCACACTGCATTCGAGTCTCACCTTCTTAATCTCGGGAGCTGGGCACATGTCTGAGATCTGGGGGAACTCCGTGCTTAGCCTGCAGCTGGAGCTGCTCTCGCTCCAGACACAGCGGTGTCCCAGGTCCTCTCTGCCCAGGCACTGCGAGCAGTCAGCACTTCCAGTCCCACAGTTGTACACCTCCACTAGACCACAAGAGACAACAGAAAAAGTGAGCTTCTGGGCCAGACGCTTCCATAGCTTTGCTTAGCTTTAGGCAGTCTGACACCCCCTTCCCCCCCCATGGCTATATTAATCCAAGTAACAGCCCAAATCCAGTGGAATAGCAGAAGTGCTTGTATGTTCAGCAAAGATGAGGCAGTGTTTGGCTGCTATCCTGAAGATTTCCCAGAAGGACTGGGTGCTTTTTCTCACTGCAATATAATTTAGCACTTTCTTTTCCTCTTTTTTTTTCCCCCAAACAAAACAAACACCACCCAAACTCGGAACCTTTTGTCAATTTATGCTACATGTTTCCAATTCTCAGCATCCACATGGGAAGCTGCTTGGCAAAACTGGCTTCATCCTGTTAGCAAAGCAATCACATTGCTTCCATACTCTGGGACACAAATGTGATTGTTACAATGCTTTGTATGATGTTTACATTCCCCTTCCTTCCCCCTGGTGACCACGGGCTCTCTTCATCAATTTCTCCCTTCAGATCTGCTCAGCTCAGCTTCCAAATCATTTTCCTACAAGGCTTTCACCTCTTCATTAGCTGGTGCCCTAGGTTACATTTCCTTTCCAGCCCAAAGCCTGCTGCCACTGGAGTGTGGGCATCCGCTGAGATAAACAGCCAGAAACATTCAGGAAACGTTGCTTTCACACCCTTTTCCCCAGAGTAGAGTTTGCAGGAGAACATAAAATAAAGAAACAGTCACGTTTGACACTTCTGTTCACAGGAGGATCTCAAAGTGCTCCATAAACAACTAACGAGTCCCTCAGCCTTCAATGCTCTGTCTGTGCTCATCCTAACAAAGCGATACTGGCACCGAGGAACTCTGCCATGCTCCACAAAAAACTGAGCTTACTTCACTGCATTTTGTGTCTACCAGTGAGTTACATGTGTTGGCTTTCCACCCAACAGCAATGAGCTGTGATTCCTCCAGTGAACTACCGAAACGCAATTTACAAGAAAAGCTAATAAATATTGGGAAACACTGGAAAGTAACAGTAATTCCATTAAGGACAGTCTAAAAGATAAACACATTTATAATTGGCCAAGCAGCTCTTTGTCTCTGCTAGCAAGTAAGCCTCCCTAATTCAGCTGCACCAATCTGCTCAAGGCAAGGAGGAGCCAGAAAGCTGTAGCTCTCCCACAGGATCTTGAAATATTCAGGCAAATTCAAACTGATGTAAACACAGGCCACGGAAGTCAACTCTTTTTCCTGCAGGAGGAGATGTGGATTTCACTCTCTGCGCTGTCTTCCAAGCTCCCAGTAATAGTCATGCATAGAATTAAGAATCTTCTGTTGCAATCAACATGATCTTGGCTCAAATGTCCTACCCCCCTTCCCGGGTTACCTCTGTACCTTAAAAACACTGATACCCTCTCCTTTCTGCGAGGAAATAATGGCTCATGCTTGGCTTATGCATATATTTCAAAAGTTACTCCACCAGTGTAGAGTGCTTTGCAAGATACGTCTCCTTTACATGCTGGGATTTAACACCAGGAAACCTTTTTAACCTGGGTCAGTGACTGATGGCGTTAACGTCTCTCTGCATACTACAGCTATCCTCCAAAAATAATCTCACATTTAAGGAACTAGCTCTCCTTTGCATCTACTGTAGATCAGTACCTTCTACCAAAATTGCTGACACTGGTGAGAGGGAAAGGAGCCCAAAGACATTGCATGCAGCAGCAGCATGTAGTTAGGTGAAGCACTGAGCCCAGACCAGGCAGGGGGAGGAGGCAGTTGTGCAAGCACTGGCTCTGCTGCCTGGGCTGGGCTTGTCCTATCTAAATGTCTTGTTTGGGTGCACTTTTCATCTGACTTTTTGCCTTCCTCACTTAATTTGCTGATTCAGCATGGGCTTTTTTAAGAATCCAAGCATTCTTCCCAGAGACAGAGAGCGGGCCAGGGGTGAAATGTGTTTACACATTTTATTCTTTATCAGCACAGGACAGAAAAAAATGCTTGATTTTTACAGCACAAGGAACCTGGATGCCATGCTCCTTGGAGAGCCTCCACATGGCAGGGCCCTTTCCCGCCCCTTATCTCCTCGGGAAGCATTCCTCTGCTGACCTGGGACACCCCACTGCGCTGCCGGGACCAAGAGCCTCTGTGCGCCCTGCTCTGGGCACTGCTGGCAGGCCAGAAACACCCTTAAGGATGGGGCTTGAGTTTTCCTGGATGTAAAGTGGATGTCTGCAGGTGTGTCTGCCTGGTTTCTGCGCACGTCTGCACGCACATGAGGCTGGGTAAATACGATTTCTGCATGTGCCTGAGAGAAAGAAGAGGGCTGTGCCCATTTGAGCCGTGATCTCTCTCCTGAACCCGTAAACTTTGCCAGGATTTTAGAATCATTCAAGCTGACCGGATGAGAGCAGAATAAAAATATTTTCAACTCAGACCTGTCATCATCTCTGGACTGTCGATAAATCTGTCTGGTCTGTCCTTCAGCTGAAGGTTTACTGGGAAGAGATGGCTTTTTTCTGATGTGTGGAGCTGCAGGAAAACACAAATGAACAAAAACTAAGGACATTTAGTAAAATACAAGGTTACACACACACACTAAACTGACTAACACTCCTCTTGATGCTCCTCTTACCACTTCTCAGTACAGGACAGTCTCATCTGTAGCTGAGAAAGAAAGGCAAGCTTATTTTCTGTCTTAATTGTTTGCTGAGGTCTCAACAAAAGGCAAACAGGCACAGTACACACAGTGGTGAGAGCAGAGCTCTGGTTTGCTGGTATTTTTAGTAGAAACAGACAGGAAAATTAAAAGCCTGGCCAAGTGCTGAGCCACAATACAGGGTTTTGCAGGTGACGGGATGGGGAAGGGCTCCTCTCCAGCCTCTACTCTAAATATTCCCATAGGTGGGAGCCCAAATGTTTGCTGCCTTTCTGAAGTGTACTTTGCCCTCCAAAAACTGCACACCGCTATTTGGTGAGTGCCTGAGCATTTTCTCAGACCAAATCCTATTTCGGACATAGAGCAACAGAATTAGCAACACTGGAAGATGGCCATTTTTTTTTCTGTATGTTTTACTGAACTCTTCCCATTAAAAAAGGTAAAACAGGCAGCTCCTTCCCAAAACCCCACTGGAGCACGGACTGAAGCTGCTGCAGATAATCCACGAGATGCAGCATCGTCGACCTGTGAATGCCCTTCCAGCCATCAGCAAGCGCAAAGAGCCTCTTGTTGGGGAGGTTAGCCTGCTTTGTGCTTTTTTCAGCTGGCAGTGGAGGGTGGGAGAGGGGAAGAAGGGTCCCAGCTGCTGGGTAGGGGGCTCGGGGGCAAGACCCTCGCTGCCCTCTAGTCCTGCCCCCAAGCAGAGCTGGCAGCTGCACCCCCGACTCACCAGCACGTGGACGCACTCCACGGCAGAGGAATTCACCCAGCGGGCCTCGAACGTCCTGTCTGTCCCAAAATGGCACTCCAGGGCTGTCTCCTGTGGGGGGAGGAAAACAAAGGGCTGAAGAGCCGCAATCGTTTTTTTGCAGTTCTCCATGAGAACCGATGGATGCAACAACTGCTGTGCCTTACCTTGCTTCTGCCACAAATGCTTGGGCTGTGTTTGAAGCTCAGAGAGGTCAAAACCCAACACTGCAAACAGGGCTGGGGCCTGTGCCCGATTAATCCTCCTGTGTTACACAGCAGCAGGCACAATGGCTGCAGGCTGAGCGTGGTGCATGGAGCCGCTCTGCCCCTGGCTCTCACCCTGTTTGCTGCTGTGGAGCACCATGGCCAGGCGTGGGGCGGCTGCTCCCGCAGACAGGGCCCCATGGCAAGCACAGCACAGGAGATGAGCCTGGCCAGTCTACGTTCCTCTAACTCCTGCCGGGGCACTCAGAGCTCGAGCTGCAGCGTGCTCCAAGAGCCAGTGTGTCCTGAGCAGCCTTGTGCATGCCAGACCGCACACCAGTCAGTGATTTCAGCTCAAAACCATCTTTCTCCTCCTCCCAACAACTGCACCAGGCAAATCTCTAATTCAAATGAGGACCTAGCTGGGAGTATGTTCAAAGGCAGATTTTCCGTTCTGCTTTACTGATAACACAAGCGATGATATCCTGCCCACAGATACTGTTATGTCCTCATCCTGCAGGAAAAACTCCTATCTCCAAACAGGCTGATGCTCCATCACTACTGAGGTCTAAATACTCTTTGAAAGTGGATGGATCTGATAAAAGACATGAAAGACAGCACCAAACTCCTGGCAGAGAGCTGCTGGCTCAGTGAGCACGCCCGCAGCATCAGAAGGGGAACAAGCATCTCCTTGGGGAGCTGCACTCAGGCAATCGGTGCCTCTCCGGCCACGCAGCCGCCCCAGCGGACATCCCCGATGTCCCAGCCCTGGCAGCACTCAGGATCCCGCACGCAGAGGGCAGCAGGGAAGGGATCCCTGCCAGCACCCTGGGATAGCCTTGCAGATGGTGGCAGGAGGAAGACGGAGCCTCACCAGCTGCCCCTGGGGACAGAGGAGCCTCAGCCTCTTTCCTGCTGACTTCATTTCCTATCAGGTTACATGTGGTATTGCTTCCTCTCTAGCCACCTCCAGCATCCTCAGAGGAAAAAGGATTTCTCGCCCTTTTTTGCTGATTGCAGAGGAACACATCCGTGTTTACAAAGGCCGGACCTTGTGCAGGAAATGGCAGCCCAAGCCAGGGCAGGGGAGAGCTGTTCGTGGTGTGCCGAGGGGGCAAGGTCTGCAGCAGCCGTGCTAACACGGCCCCTGGCTGCGGCCTCCTGCTGCCCCCAGAGAGGCGAGCCTCACAGCTCCACCCGCAGTTCCAAACCCTTTCGTTTCTCAGAGAAGAGAGGAGTTACCTGGCTGCCCTGTGTATGGGCACCCTGCATAGGGATGCTGCAAACGTGTCCCACAGGCCCTAAAAAAGACTTGTCCCAGATGGTACAGAGCAATCTTCTACACATACCAGAGCTTAGCCACATATTTTCCCAGTGCCCAGCTTCTAGGGAAGCTCAAATTCCTCTGGATTCTCATGGTGTGAAACATCTCAGAAAGCAGCATTAAATGTCCACTCCCACTTTTCACCCTATTACAATTCCCATGCCAGAAAACTGCACAGAAAAGGACTTTTTCACAAAAAAAAGAACTCTGCAGTGACCACCAGAAGTTAAGTTACAACATGATTCCTTGCTGTATTCCCACCAGTTGCTTAGCCAGCACAGGGCACTCTGCCCGCTGCTCTGGGCTTTGTCTTTGCACTTTCATTTCTGGATCACCACATTAGCTCATCTGAACCTTTCCGTTCTCTCAAGAAATTCATTTACCTTCGAGAAAGTTGCATTAGCCAGTGAGATCGTAATGTCCCGAGAAGTTCCTGTGGGCATTGGGTCCAAAGAGACAGGTACAATCCGTGGACAGTCAATTTTCTTCTGTTATGTACAAAACAAGAAAAAAGAAAAAAAAAGAGATGTTAGCAGAATGCATGCTGAGCATCTGTAGTGACAAGGCAAGAAAAAAAAGTCAGGATCCCCGATAAAATTAATTTCACTAAATCTTTAACGACAGATGACAGCACAACCCCAAAAAGTGAGATACCACAGTGGCACCATGACACAGTGACCAGTAGCCACACACGGAGACTTCCTCCCTGAGCCACCAGCTTTATGGCCAGCCTTAAAAGCTCCCCGTCTGCCAGCCCGGCCAACCTCTCCAGGGTGGCTCAGCCGCAGCCATGGGCTGGCAGTGCAGGCAGGAGGAGAGGAGCAGGAGTTCAGGAATTCCCCCTTGCTCCTGGCAGGGCACCTCTGCCAGCACAGGGGCACCAGGGGCCCCGGAGGGGCTGCCACTCCTGGACCTCTCATCCTTCTGCCCTGGATGGACTCCCTGCCAAAACACAGACCTGCACGCGCTTCACAGCTGCCAGTCTGGGCAGCTCCCTTTTTACACACACAAGTGTTAGAAGCTGTGGCTGGAGTGACACTAAAAGGGTGTGCTGCAGCCTACAAGGGCAGATCTGCTGGCATGACCCCCTCCTGCCAGCTGGAAGCCGATGTCTCATATGCTGCAACACTCATTTCGGCAAGCCCCTGCAGAGACTTCCCTTTCCAGAGGTCTCCCTCCCGCATGCTGTTATTTCAGAAGTGTGGGGGTTTGTGCATGTGCACGCAGAGGAAAGGGTATAACAAGCTGTAGGGGCCTTCAGGAAGGGGACTGCAGCAGGAGGACAGCTGAAATGAAAAGCCTAAATGAAGCTGAAAAATAATTTTAAAAGGTCATCTGTCCCCCTACTTTTGTTCTCACTTTAAATTGATGGCTCAGATACTGGAGCTGACTCAGAATTCAATTCTATGACAAGCCCATCCTGTTCTGTCATGAGATGTAAATTACACTGCAAAACTACAGCAAAAATTAAGCTAGATTCTCCACTGCCCCGGGGTATATCCAGATTAATGTCTTTGACAGTGGAGCCATTGGGGTAAAAGACAACAAAATATTTGGCCTATTATACAGAATAATTTTCAGCAGGCAAGATTTCCTCTTTGCTTGCACTAGAGGCTCCCCCACTGAGACTGCTGCTGCTCCTGATGTGTGCAGAGAGGCAAGAGCCTGGCACCAAGATGCATGGCAGAGCATCCCTGGTGCCAGGCATGCAGTGGACAGGAGGTTCCCCCCCTGCCCTCCCCGCAGCGAGTGGGGGAGCTACCTGGGAACTGTCTGAAAGTGCTTATTTGACTGTGGAAAACACGATTCAATTCTTATCAGGACGCTCATCTTAACCAAGCACAGTTGGTGCTGCCTAAACAAGGAGATTAAATAACAGAGATGCACATGATAAGAGAAGTAAAACAACAGAGCAAAGCAATGGAGAAAGATTTCAGTCCCAAGCTGCCTCAAGCAGAATCAAAAGAGTTAAAATAAAACCAGTAGGGCTACCATTGGAAATTCATGCTAATGCTCCCATGGCCTGGTGTGTCCTTGCATGTCACAGCAGCTGGCAGAGCTTGCTAGATAAATACACTTTACAGGACTGATTAACTCGTCGTCTTGCAGTCCCTTCTCCTGCTGTTCATCAGCAGCTAGAAATAGAGCTTCCCAGCTGATTGTATCGTTCATGTCTGGAGCAGGGCGAGGGGTCTGAGTGCTTAAAATGCTGCGGATGAAGTCAGTATGATGCTGCTTCCCGGTGGACTGCTTTTCAGGTGCAACCACACAAGCAATGGTTTATTTGCCAACAGCTCAGACTGCAGCTCGAGGAGCCCTGTTTCCAGGGCTACAGAGCACCTTACCCTGCAGGCTGCTCCCTGCAGTCGGTGGGGCTGGTGCTCAGGAAGAGCACAGAGATAAAAGGGGGATGTGCCTAAACCGGCAGCGACATCCAGCTGAACTGTAGCTCTGGAGTAAGGGACCAGAGGCAAACGAGGAAGGTCAGCCGCGGCTGTCCTCGCCACGAAGGTGCCTCAGGCTCTTGTGGCTGCTCTTCCCAGAGTGCGAGCTGACGGGCGCACGAGGGAAGGCTCGGTGCTCTGCGCACACTCGGCTGCCCCAGACCCCTGCCCACAGCCCTGTGCCCAGGCAAGAGAGCTGCCCTGGGAGGAGAGGTGGCCACGCCGTGCCACGCCGTCCCATCCCATCCCATCCCATCAGCACGGCCGGGGCGTGGGGCTGGTGCCAGGCAGGCGAGGTGCAGCCGTGCCAGCACCCGCGGGACTCCCCTGCCTGGCCAGGACACCTGAGCTGCAGCAAACACATCTTGCTTCGCTGCATAGCCGCTTGCCCCATCATGCTTCAAGAAGCAATTGCACTTATGTGAGAGGGCACAAATTATTTCAGGCAGTTCTTCCATTTCCCAGTAGTGTTGCAGGTTATGCAGTGACTTGACAAGGAAAGCAAAAAGTCAATCCAGTAACCCAGGGCCTTCTCTACCAGTCCTCTAACAGACAGCCCCAGCTCTTCCTTTAGGTTTAACGAGAACTGCCCTGTGCACCAGACATGACAAAAGCCACTGATCACACTGTGGTCCTCGGCCACCTCCATAGCTGGGCTGCCCCTCCCCACTGCCCCTGACCCACAGCCGAAGCATCCCGGGGCGAGGCAGCACACCGGGACCCCTGCCCACATGGAGCCAGCAGCAGCCCCTGCAGCCCGCTCACAGCTGCCTGTGCCTGGGCACGGGACCGAGCAGCTCCACGCAGCATCTGTGCATCCGTCCCATGTGCTGAGCACTGAACGGCTGAGATTTTCAATTGCTCAGCACCCATCCATACAGCAAGACCAAATGCCAGGTATTTTATGGAGCTTGGGAAATTTGCTAAGCAAAGGGTACTTTCTTAAACCGTTCATTATGAACAATTAAGACATTCACAAGAAAGCACAATCCATTCAGAAACAATTCACAAAGCAGAAGAAATATGTCCTGCATTCCCAAGGAACAATCAAACAGCTGTGACCCACCAGTGGCAGGAAACATTTCATATTGTTCTCACAGCAGACAATACTGTACAGAGTTGCCATGTGTTGACTCTATCTGCCTGCCCCGTCCCAGGCACTTGGAGCATCCTACCCTCTTCCTGCCAAAGGGGAGTGGGTGCAAAGGGCTGGCTCCAGGGTCTGACGTGGGGCCAAACTCCTCACGGCGACGAGCACGGAGAGCCTCTGGAAGCGTTTAGATGAGGCTCAGCACACCAGTGCCAAAGGAATATTCAATTTACAGTGCAAGAGCTTGGCTTACATCTACGGCAGATTGATTGCTAAAAAGCCAATTTTATTTAAATTAACTTCAATTTAAATTTCAGAAGCAGGAACACACCAAGCCTCTGGGTTATTAAAAACCATAATTTGGAAAGGGGTGATTTTCTCCTTCAGATGAGTACCGCCAGTGGTGCTCTAGCAAATTATTAACATACCACAACAGCCAAGTCAAAGCTAACGGAATTGTGAAGTACTGATACATTTATTTTATTACTCAAACCCAGGCATCCCAGGATGTAGAGAACTAGCAGCATTACTCCAGACCTGAGTGGTGATAAAGAGCCACAGGGCAGAGGCTGCTGAAGCCTCTGAGGGAACTTGGATGCCCTTGCCAGACTGTTAGTTGCTGGCACACATGCACAGGGCTCTGGTCTGGTGGCTGGGGAGCCAGGAGGACACACAGTTCAGCTCGGCATGGCTCAGCATGGCACGGCACGGCACAGCACGGCTCAGCATGGTTCAGAATGGTATGGCACAGCACAGATCAACACGGCTCAGCACAGCATGGCACAGCTCAGCACAGCTGCTGCTGACCCGCCCCGCACGCCCTCCTCCTCAGCACCAGCAGCCTGGGACAAGCCATGGCTGTGCTGCTGGGGCTAGCAAGGAGCGGGTAGGGACCATGCTGAGGCTGGTGCCCAGGGAGCCCACGAGGATCGGTCTCCCCATGGGGTCGCGCGATGTCTGCAGGCACAGCCAGCACCCACAGCCTGCCCCAGGCCACTTTTCTCACAAGAGGCCATTCACCTCCTCTAACTTCTGCTCCCTGCCTTTAAAAGGGGATCAAAACGCACCGCGTGGCAGCCTGAACACTGCAGCGTTCTTGCACGTGCTACGTGAGGTGTCGCAGCCCGGGCACCACGCAGGGAGGCAGCGAGCGCCCTTGCAGACACAGAGAGGATTGGACACACAGAGAGGATTGGACACAGAGGGTCCCTGGAGCTGCTGCACACCACAGCGAGCAGCGCTGACAAACAGAGGCCATCGACCTGCGTCCCCTGGGAGAAAGATGGTGACAGCAACAACACGGCAGCATGGGAAGCTCTCATAAAACAGCAAAGTCTGATGGGTCTTACCTTCATCTGCAGCGTGTCCTCACACTGTGAGCGGTTGGAGACACACATGTACGTGGAGGGGCACCAGTAACACTTCCACTTGGTTGAGAGGCAGCTGGTGCACCTGAAACACCAAAGGCACAATGAGAACAGTGGATTTCAGGCTGCTCGGCGGAGCCAAACCAGAGTCACACGATAAATCTTCACACCGTGTATTCAGTCTTTGATGTGGCTAATATTTATCGCAGGCTCTGGCATTTTCTCTCCTCCTTTCTCTGGAGCTCACTGGGGACACGCAGAGCCGCCCATCCCCAGTGCTCCCCACGGGCAGCACCCAAGCATAACTGCCTGCAGTGCCACCACCCTGGCTGCAGGCCACGGGCAGGCTTGGAGCCACCAGCTCTGGTCTCCCCCTGTGCAGCCAGAAATGCTTTCATCCCATCGTCAGGTGGGCTTGCAGTTCCCAGTGGTGCTAAGCATGCTGTGGGACCCCCAGCGGGCAGGACTGGGGGATCACCATGGCAGGCTGCACCGTGACGCTCTGCCAACAGGAGCATGGTCAGGGGCAGGCATCAGGACATCCCCACGGCCAGCAGCCCCCTCCCCGTGGCCTCATGCTCCCACCAAGCCCCCAGGGACACCTCCATCGCCCACCGCTGTGCCGTGAGTAACCCACGGGAACGGGGAGTGGACGTGGGCCTCAGCAACCCCGCAGGCATCACGAGGAAGGCCAGTTCGGCTGCCTGAGGGTTAACAGAACAAGTTTTATATAAAAATATTATTGCTGTTTAAAAAAAGCCAGCATGTCCAGATGGCTTAAGATGCCGCTAGGACCCTTCTTTGTAAATCCCTGGCAGCGCAGCAGCCGCATTCCTGCCAAATCCTGCCCAGGCCCCCCAGCGTCCCGCTGGCAGGGGCTGCGCTCACCCAATTAACCCCAGGCAGGGGGGCCTTCACCAGCCTGTGCACACCTTTCTGGCCTCAAATTGTCAGATTTGCACAGTGCACAGGAGCAGGAGACAGGCACGGCAGAGCTGTCGCCATCCTGCCTGTACCCGGCCACCGCCCTCCCCACCGCGGCACCAGGCAGCTCCACCGCATGCAAACCCAGATCACTTACGCTCTCTTTGGGTAAATGTTTCCAGTTCTTTTGCAATCATAGATGGTGAAATTGGCCCGGATTATATTTTTGCTGTTGACCCGGAGAGCAGTTTCAACAATCACGTGGTCTGAGAGAAACAAGCCAAAGAATACTGGATTGCAAGAGCCTCACTCATTCGTGCTTGCTTTTAGAAGACAAGACAGACCCTTGGGAAAACAACGGCTAAATCTGATTTGTTTTCTCTAGGGTTTCCTCTGAGCTGGATTTCAGAGCTTGGACTATTCATCTTGTGCCCTCTGACTTCAAGTTCTTCCCTCTTAAATCAGTGCTTTACATCACCCTCACCAAAAGAACATTGCGACTTTCCGCAGAAAATTCCAGTGTGTTGTGCAAGTGTTAATTAGCAGAGTTAATTATTGTCTTCTCTGACAGTAGGTGTTAAATTGTATTTTTAAAAAAATGTGGTAATTAAAACATGTTAGTTAACATGATTTAAAACCCTGCTCACTTTCCCCATGACAACAAACCCATAGAGTGAGTGGAAATCCCTTTTTTGGCTACACAGTTCTGCTATGCTAGGTCCACCCTCCCCCCCAAAAACTTGCCTTTTTTTTTTTGCAATTTTGCCATATAAGCAGAGGGACAAGAGACAATGCCTCTTTCAGAATATGTACAATAAATCAGTGCATTGGATTCCAGAAATTCATTTCGACATTGCCGTAACCAACAATACAAAACAGTTAATAATCTTCCATTCTTTGGATAGCTACGGAGAAAAACAATGCAGCTTTATAAACTTGCCTATGAAAAATGGGATTTTCAAAAGGACTAGCTAATTCTTCTCCTACTGAAGTCAATCATCTTCAATAGAGCATTCACTCCAGGCTTGAAAGATAAAAATGTAACAAGCACTCAAGTCTGGAAAGAAGCACCAAACCTCTCAGAGGGGCATCGAAACGGGGCTGTCCCCAACATCGAGCTCTGGAAGCCAGAGTGCAAGGCTCATCTGACTTCAACCACAGGTACCCATCTCCTCTGGAGCACAGCTTCATGTAACCTCAAGATGGGCATAACATTCTGGCTGCACCTAAAACCAGGGGGAATACTGGAAGATCTCAGTCTGCTTTTTGGTTGCAATGGGAGTAGAGTTTCTGAACTGTCTTTAGGTAGGCATTTGCTCTTCTTCCAGAACCTCTCCTGAAGAGCACGGTACATTTCAAAGTGAGATTAAGCAAAAGCAATTGAAAGTATCAATATAAGTAGCTATATTATTTCCACAGGGCTAAACCCTTTTTGTTTTAGTGCTTATTGAATCTAAACCAGAAGCTTTAATGAAATAAATCTTAATAAAATAAGCACAGGAATGGGCTTTTAAATTCTGCTGTTAGAACAAAAATTGATGGATATGACATACTGTCAATTCATGTTAAGATGGTGGAACACCCACACTTTAAAGTCATATGTCCTATGAAACAGAAGCAGTTTGTGTCTCTTTTCCCCCTAAGCATTATATGCACATACCACTGGGAAAAAAAAAGCCTGTGAAAGACTATTTCCGTAAAAGTGTCTAGAATGAACTGAGCTTATTTCCCGCCACGTACCTTGGTTGTCTGGAAATGCTGGATATTTCTCACGTGGAAGTAAACTGCAATAAATAAATTGGTTTGCATAATCTCCCGCAACTCTCGCTACCGTGTGGATATTATTTCCATAATCACATGAAATGTTTGTTCCATTTAGGTTTGGAATAGTCCCATTTATTTGTATTATCAGGGCCTATAATTGGGGAAAAAAATCAGTTATTAGCTTAGAAAATCATATTTAGAATTTGTCAGTGTTTTACAAGGTTTGCATAGTCTAGCAACTCCAAAACAAGTCCACTGATAGCTGTTTTCTTTCATATTGCGCATTTTGAACTCTAAAAAGCCCTGTGCGTACAAAAACCTGCTTCAGCCCACCTCAGAACTGCACAGAGTGGTGCTGCACCGGGGCACGCAGGTGTCTGTCAGCCCTGAGAGCAGGTAATGACTGTGGAATGCCACACACTATTAATTTAGTACTGACATCAAACGTACCGGTTTCTCTTTTTCGATATTAATCTCAGGCTCCAGGATGGTCATGGAAGGGCACTGCTGCACTCCTTCACTTGCGCTCGCCCAGAAATTGGTCTCTGTGAAGTTCGTACATTCATGCTGCAGAGAACACCTGTAGTGCACATGCAAACAATTTGTGGTTGTTTATTTTCAAAACAGTTGATAAAAACGTTGACATCCCTGTGATGAAAGAGCCTGAGAAAATCCCGTGTCTACATCTTTTCCCCCATCCACCCAATTAAGCCTAAAGTTTTGCTGCTGTGTTTGAACAGTCTGGTTGCTTGTGCTCCCAGCAGCACCAACAGGGCGTTGCATTTTAGGGTAAGCAAGAAGAGGCCACGCTCAATCCAGAACAGGGGAGAAAAAGGTGACATTTTGTCTGACATCTTCAGTTTGTAAATATGGAGTCTAATTTTGCAAACTCCTATTTGAATGTTGATTGTCTCCAACTCATAAATAATAATTGCAGGGGTAAAGACATTCTTTAGCAGGGTGTTGGCGCTTAGAGTTCCATGGTTGGATGCCTGCAAGATATTCTTTGCACTGGCAACTGACTGCAGCATAACAATGCTGCTACAGTTAAATGCTGGCTCAAAAGTGCATCCCAACAGTTTGAGACCATACGCAATTGTTTTTAAAAGCCTGTCTTTTGTGAGGAATGGACAAAGGCTAGAGGTAGTGTGACTTAGTGGAAATACAGAAAGCACCAAAAATCCCTGGCTGGGCTTGAGGACCGAAGCCCATGCCGAATCACACTGGGAAACAACAAGTCCTACCTAGTCTCCATCGTGCACCACCCGCAGTAAGCGTCGGCTGCAGCCAGGCACTCTGCACATGTTGAATACTGGTTGCAGACAGCCACCTTCACTCGCGTCATCTGCACAACAAAGCACGGTTACATCCAAATGTTTTAAAATGCCAGAGAAATACTCAACCTGGATGTGTGTCCAGCTCACCAATCACTTAGATGGAGATGGTTTGGTAGTCTCACAGCTTGTCCCTGACTGCAAAAAGCTCCCTCGTGCCTGCAGAAAGCTCCTCTCTCAACAGAGCCAAATGGTACCTGGCTATTTACAAAATGACCAGGAAGCGACACCATTTTGGAAACCTTAATTTCTAAAGAAACCACAGTACTGCTGGGGGCTTTGAGGTAAACCATGCATGCGTTGCTTTCTGCTTTTTCTTCTCTCAATTTCTGAACATCTGGGAGGGAAAACTGAGTAGTTTGGTAGTGCAGGGGCCAACAACAGGAGGTTCCAGCAGCCCCAGGCTCCACCAGAGCAGCGCAGCCCAGCTGGTGGCTCCTGCACCCGAGCCCCATGTTGCCTGTGGCTCTTTGCTGCTCCCCAGCCCTGTTGCACTCAGCTGCCCTCGAGTACTCATTGCACCAATGACAAACGAATTCATCCAGTTTACTGGGAAAGGGATGGGCAGACGAGAGCATCAAATGTGCTGCACTCGGTGTTTTATCAAGCCATGAGTAAGGACCACAGCACAGCCTGAGAGCTGAGAAGAGAAAGTCTGAAATATCAGCTGAAGAAGCATCCTGGGAGTGTTCTGTGAAATGATAATGACCAATCTGCAGGGAATTAGGGCTTGGAAAATATAAATGTAACATATAACATTTGTGGCTGTGCATCTGTTTTGACAGATTAAAATGTAATTCAGGACAAACCACCAGAGCCTCTAGTGCTCAGCTCTCATCTTCCTCCTCTGCTCACTTGATGGAGATGAGACCGTCTGTTCCTACCTGCTGCGGTCTCTGAAGACCCCCCCATCCCAGCTCTCCCTCCAGCAAGGCTGCGCGGAACACAGAAGCCGCCCCTACGGCACCTTCCCGACAGGCAGACTTTTTGTTTGTAGGGTCTCCTAAAAGCCACCTCAAAGACCATCTGCCATAATTTTCGGTTTTCTATAAAGCAACAGCCTCTGCTTATTTCCACACTCCCAGAAGTGAGATCAGTTTTGATATCTTTTATTCTTCCTTTCATTTTGCCACCACAAAGACAGGAAAGCCAATGCGGATAACGGGAATCTTGCCTGCCCCAGACTCCAGCAAATCATCGCACGGCAGGGAAAAAGCTTGTGTGCGTTTAAATTCATACTGCTCTAAAAATAAGGCTGGCACACCGTAACTCAACTGCAGCCCACTGTCCAGCTGGAGGACACAGAGGCCCAAAACGGCCGCTGCTCAGAACGGCGGGCGGGAGGCATGGGGAAGCTGGAGGGCTCCTGACAAGCTGCCCACCAGCAGACTGCTGCCTGGGCCAGGGGGGCAGGCACAGCCCTGGACAGGTCAGAGACGTGCCTCGACACCAGTCAAAGCTCTCAGCTTCTTTGCTCTGTCCATTAATGTTACAGCAAATTTTGTTGTTCATTTATTTCCTTCTTGCTCTCAGCTTAATGCTAGAGGCTAGGTGAAACGCACTTTGCTCAACGGGTGATTTTCCTGACAAATGCAGATCTCACCTGATAGGACGTCATCAGATAGAGGAAGGTGGAATCAGAAGGATCGAACTGCATGATGGGGTGGACAGGCTCTCCGTAAGCCACCGAAATGGATCTCCTGCTGACAACCTTCATGGCGCTATCCAGGTTAATCTGTAGCGAGAAGACGCCACTCACTGAGACCATTTTTCAAACACTATGGGGAGGTTACTTTTCCTCAGTTATAAACAAGAACCAAAATGGTATCTAAAGGTGTTCCACATTTTTGAGTGCTGCAAATCTCTAAATGCTTTATAATCTGCACATGCAGAGCTTTATGGCAAAGCCAGCTCGGTGGCACAGGGAAGCCACCACATGGTCCGGAAAGCCCATGCGACAGCTCAGGATGAGCAAACCTCACATCCCTTGGTCTCTCAGTCTAAAGCCCTCTATTTAAGATACTGCCTGGAAAACTTCTAGCCTAAGGCTCTAGCCACTGCACAGCCTGGCTACATGGCTGCATGACAGTTCCCATGTCGGTGAAATGCCAGCATGCCACAGCCCTGCTGCTCTTGCTGCACCCTGATGTAAGTGCCATCAGCCTCCAGCCCTCATTACATACATATGCGCATTTTTGTTACAAAGAACATTTATTTCCAACGTCTAATGAAAAACAGCAAAAATAAGCAACGTGGTTGTATAACATGGCATCTCCTTCTCCCTGTGTATTTGAAAAATAAGTGTTGTCATTCCCGGCCAGAAGAAGCTTTTATCCCTGCTAACACCAGGAGACCACAGCAGCTGCAGCAAGAGAACTGAATCCTACCTTGCCTCATGAATCACCAGCTGAACCGCTGGCAGTGATGGAAGAGGCTGCAAAGCATCAGCCTGCCTTTCAGATCCCAGAATGTCTTGGCATTTGACTTGAAAACTCAGCAAATTAAATGTGGCATTGCTGAGAGGAAATAACAATAGAGCTACACAATTTTGCGTGACAGTCACTTTTCAGCTTAAAACAGAAAGGGAGAGAGGAAAATTCCTACCTCTTTACTAGCAAAGGGAGGCAATAATTGCAAGGACCAAGCATGCCTGTTCTCTCTAAAGTGTAGATTAAATAATTAACACAGGATTAATTAATTCTTATATTAGAGCTGCACCAACATGTCCTAGTAAGATAGCTGACACAATCTCAATGCACAGGGCTTCCCTGTGCTAGAAGCTGTATGCAGGCACTGCAAGCAGCTATGTAGAACAAGAGAATGATCTTTACCCCTATTTTAAAACCTGGCTATCCAGAAGATAAATAATTTGCCTGAGATCACCCACAACACACAAGAACCAAGCCCTGACACCTCCACTTCAGTTTTGCAGCGATTCTTTCTCTCTTCTTGCTGAGCTCTTCTCTAACCCCTGGCTGTTCCCAGGTGCTGTCCCTAGGTCCCTCTGCCTCCCGGACCACCCGGACACTTCCCCTGGATCCACACGAAGCTGCGTGGCCCCGGGAGAGCCCCAGCAGCAGTGCAAAGAGCACCGGTCCTCCTACTGGAGCTGGGCCAGTGACATGCCGGGGGACACACATTTGTCCAAATACATGCATCTGCCACCCCAGCTGGGCTGCACGGGTGCTAATAAGAGCATGGGGAACAGGTGAGAGCACAGACAGCCCACACCACGTCCCCAGCTTGTGGCTGCAGCCGGGGTGGCTGGAGTTCTGTGTGATCCCACCACAGCACCACTTTCTACAGACTCAGAACTCGAGACAGGGTGGCTTGCCAGAACGCCAAGCCCTGCTGCACCCACGCCTCCTTCAGGGGTGGGACACCCTGCCACACCTTTCCACTGGCCCTGGCCTTCCAGGCACTGCTTTTCCTTTAATGACTTTGCTGGATGTGGCACAGTTAATGGCCCTCGTGAGATGCCTGTCTGCAGCCTACCTGATTAATTCCCCATACCCTGGCAGCCATAATTGCTGCTGGCAGGAGCCGGTTGAGCACTATTTCTGCCCCTTTGCTGTCTTTTCTCAGGCAACAAATCTGAATGATAACTCACGCAAAGTATCTTGTATCCCGTGCCAAATAACAAGGAGCCCCGAAGGTAAAAGGGCTTCTGGTTATGCAGCTGTGTTGTAGAATTAGATTAGAGCTATCTGAGCAAATTATCCCAGCAAAGGGTAGCCAGGAGCCTCTCCCTAATGGAGGTTCAGCAGATAAGGCTGCTTTCTCTGAAATGGTAATGGAAGCAGAGCTGTTAATACTGTGTGAACACGGGCAGCTCTGCGTGTGGTATGTGCCTCTCTCCCGGCGCAGTGCACCTGGCAAGGATGCCAGCCGCCTCCCACCCTCCTGAATTACTTGCCCCTTCAGGCAAAAATCAAAGCAGCAAGTTGCTTTGTGATCGTTCCCACATTTCTGCCGGGAGCACTTGGAAGCAAGGGAAGAGATGGGATCAGTTTTCTTTTCTCCAAGCATTTTGATCCAATATTCCATATTATGCACTACTTACTCCAGCTGAGACAAAGCAGATATCAGCCATCTCTTTCCTCCAGGGCTTTCTCTCCCCTCTCTCTATGGACTTTTGACACTGAGAATACACCAAACTGTTGTGTCTGGCTGGAATCAAAAGTTTCTTTGGCAGACTTCAAGCGCTAAAGTTACTGAAACCTCGGCCTTGCATCTTGGCTCCAGGCATCGCTTTGCTCTGCACTGCCTTTGGCACATTGTTTAAAATAGATACTTCAGCTCTGTCAGATGCCTGGATTCACACCTGCTTGGGACTCAGCACTGGCAAAGTATTGCGCAGTGATTCCCCTGTCTATATGGAGCCTTCAAAAGCCATCAGCTCATGGGGAGAATTTATTAGAAGAGCTGCTAATAATTAAATGCTGCACAATAACATTTCCAGCACAGGTTTCATCAAGTACATCCTGCTTGCAGAACCGTAATTAACAGCCACCAGTCACCAGGCAGCATATATCGCCATACCGATCACAGCAGCGTCCAATTACTTCTTTATCACCAAACGAAGGCAGGTGTTAGATAAACCCGACAACGGACATTGGCAGGGGCAACCCCTGGCCCTCCCCGTCCCCCCGGCCTCTACACCCCGCACTTGCCTTCAGGAGTCCTCCGCTGGCGGTGCCCAGGAACACCACGGTGTAGTTATTGACGCTGGCGACCGCCACCGCGGTGAGGCCGTTGTAAGTGAAGACGGGGGTGGCGGTGATGGGGTTCACGATGGCCAGCGGGTGCTGCAGGTGCGCTGCTCCGCAGTCCAGCTGCTCCGGCTGCAGCTGTGGGGACACACACGTGTGTTAGCGGCTGCACCCGGCCAGGTCCTGCCTTCCGCCACTAGGGCTCAAGCCTCTGAGCCCAAGGCAAATGCCTCACTGCCGAGCCATTCAACAGGAAAATGCAGGTCCATTCGGGGGCAGGAGCTTCCCTGCTGCGGAAAGGAGCAGGGCAGCAGCGGCATGGCTGCTGGGGCTGTCCTGGCACGGACACCCCAGGCAGGCGTCCGCCAGGCAGGGTCCCGTGCCCACAGCAGCATGGGGCTTCTGTGCCACACACGGGGACGCTGCCTGTGAGTCCACCTCACACCTACCCACGGCCCTGGCACCTGTCCCAGCCCACATCCTGTGAGGCGCCAAAGCCCAGGGGCAAGCAGGGGTGGGAGGGAGGCAGGAAGGGGTCTCCTCCCTGTGCTCTGGGTGCCCCCAGCCCACCCCGGAGAGGTCTCAGCCAGCCGGGGACCAGCCCCACACACGGCCACCCGCTTTGCTCCTGTAGCACTGCCACAGCCCCGCTGACCCCACCCCATGGGCATCGCTGCGAGCCGGGCAGGAGGAGGGAAGGTTCATCAAGTAAAAGAAGTTAGTTAGAATATTATTTCCCTGCAACCAAGTGAGGAGATGAGTGAGAACAGAGCCAAGGGAGAGGAAAAAAGACAGGCTCACTGGAGACCCTCAGGACTGTAAATCCGGGCTCCGATCTTGCTGCTGCTGGAGTCAACAGCAGTATTTCCACCGGTCAGATCCTCACATGCCTGGCCGAGTCATGCAGCACTGCACTGCAGGCGCTGCCCACTGATGGGCTGAGACACGAGGAGAGCAGCCTGGGAGCAGGACCAGGCCAGCAGACACTAAAGGCAGGAGGCTGCTAACCAGGCAGGAGCAGATCAGTGATGGAGGTGTCCCCACAGCCTGGGGCATGGAGGGGAGTGCAGCAGCAGCCAAACTTGTCCCAGAAATGCTGGAGCCACCACGACCGCCCAGCCTGGCCCCATGCGCTGCAGCCGTTCGCAGCCCACCATGCCCTGGTGAGCAAGTACGAGCTGTGCCCTGCACGTGAGACCACAAGACACTTAATATCTGCCTCCAGACTCTTTTGCCAAACTGCTCCCAAAGCTGTGAGGGAGCAGGAGCTGGCTGTGTTACAAAAAGTTAAACCGAAGATATCCCAAGCCAGGAGCTGCAGCTCCAGCAGAAGCCCAGCTGTGGTGGGAGCTGGCTGTGATGCGCAGCCTTGAAGCCCAACCACTGCTCCCACAGGGCTTCGTACCAGTGCTGCTGGTGAGAACTGGCCAGGTTGGTACCAAGGCTCCCGCTCCCATTCATTAACAGGCGCAAAAGAACAATGACAGAGGAAAAAATGTAAGGACTCCTCCTCTGTGTCACCTAGACCTAGTCTGTGAGCAGGTATTTGGCTTACTTGGCCCACAGCATGACAACAGACGTGACCATTCTGTGCTAAATTAATTAGCACTGCCACTGCATGACGGCAGCATTTAAAAACTAGACTGATGCTTCATATTTCTCCTTCCCTGCTGAGACGCACCCAAGATTTATGACCGCTCTCGCCCTGAATCCTCTGAGATTCTCCTTATAATTTCTGCTCAGACAATGTGGATGGATTCTACAACGTCTGAATATCACAACAGTCTTGCTGCCGACAATTTACCTGCTGTCACTCCCACAGCAGCTTTTATGAAGTGCTGTGGGGGCAGCTGGCGCCGTTCAAATGATGGGCATGTTTCGAGGGCCATTACCACATCATCCGCAGTGTCATTTCAGGCTCATCTCAAAAGCCGCAATTGCGCTGTCACCCTCGCTGGGTGTTGGCATGCAGCTCACAGGACAACTGCAGGTATTTGCAGCCTGGTGCTAGTCTAAAAGCAGAGGTGATTTCGGCTCTGGCCGCAGGAAGCACTTACACACCGCATCAGGCAGGAAACCTGCCTGACGGACCTCAACCCACACCCCCGCCACCACGCATGTTTTATGCCTCACTGAAGTCAGACGTACCACAGATATCCCTGCCAAAACAACACTTGGGAGTGCTAATTTAAGCAGAACAAATGCAGGGATTGAGGCTGTATCTGTTAGGACACTGGACCACATTTCTACCATGCAGAAGCTGACGACCAGCCTGTTAGGCACATCCCTCCCTTCCTGGGCTGTGTCGCAGTTCCTGTAGGACCAGCATTATTTCACTAACGGAACCAGACTGCCTGCAGCTCTACCCTCTCTTCAGTTGGTTTGAAGCCCCTGGACCTGAAGCAGCTCCTGATAAAGGTTTGGAGGACAAGGACAGCCTCTGGGCCTCTGCTCAGGACAGTGCCGAGAGGAGGCGACACACGCGGAGCGGCAGCTTGGTTTATACAGGCGCGAGATGGACGGATCAAATGTTCTGGATGCCAAGTGACTTTGCTAAACATATTTTGTAGTTTCACAGTATTTCATTCTGTTTAAACAAAACAAAACAAACAAACAAGCAAAAAAACAACTGCAGCCCAAATTCTCAAGTGTGTATGTTTCCCCTGTAACTGGGCAACACAATTTCTTTATGCTACACACAGGCTACGGAAAGCCATTCATTTTTCTGATGTAATGGTTCCTTCCACTCACAGACAAGCCTTCAGAAAGGCACTTGGTTTTATTTATTTGTTCTGGGGACACTTATCTCTAGCTCCACTTCACCACTCTACCAACATCAAGGAACCGAAGCTCCCAGGGCTCCGTCGTGCTGGAGGCTGCGGTGCGGGGCAGCCTGGGCACCAGAGGCACACTCAGAGGAGCCTCCTGCGTGCAGTGGTGTCAGTCCTCCACCAGCCTCCCCCAGCCAGGGGCACAAGCCTTTCCTTCCACAGATGGCTGAAGCCAACGGGAGCTCCTTATCTGCTCTCGCTGCCTGTTTATAAATCACGCTTTAGAGACCCAATATAAACGCAAAGTGTTTCTCATGGTAAACAGGATGTAACTATTCTAATGCAGCCACGCATTATTTTGGTCACATACATCCTTCCCCTAAAACACCTTTCTTTAAATGACATCAGCTCTTCCAAAGGACAAGCAGGAGACATATGGTGTTTCCCTCACATGGTCTCCAGGGTGGGGTGACACAATATGCTGCTTCTGTCTGTAAACTACAGCACCAAGGAGATATTTTAACTCTGTCATTTTAGGGTAAACAGGATATGACCAAGTCACATCCTTATGCAGGCACCAGACGATCACTCCAGATAATCACCACAGCTTGGGAAATTTCACTTGGAAGTTGTGCTGAAAGGCATTCTTGATACAGAATGGGTGAAATCTTGCTCTGTTTTAAGCCAGACTGATCTACCCTGCAGTGGGGAAGACATAAATAAAACTTTTCTTCCCAAACCAGTGCCTTTCTATCATTTGCATTTTAAAACAACCCCATGGGTGTTTATTGCATTGCCATTATTTTTCTGCTTCACACTATAGATACTGAGTAACTCACAGAAATACTGAAGGGGGGGCCTAGATCCAGGTCCTTCTGCACCCTGCCACCCTCAGGCTGCAGGGGAGCCGCCCCGGGCACAAGCCGCCAACAGCCCGTGACCAGCACAAGGTGAGCAGCGGCGCTGCCATCCCACACGCTCACAAGGAGGGTGTACTCTGTATTTCTACAAAATTTCAAAAATGGGGCAAATGAACCCAAACCAAGGAGCAACTCCTAAGAGGAGGGTTAGTCAGATTAACCCCTGAGTGTGATTAGAAAGACAGCACGGGACAGAGATGAAACACTTCCAGCCACATCAGAGCTCAAGTGTTCAGCTGCTTTCGCAGTGCAAGTTCAGCCCTTTATCCCAGGCCTAGAACGGCACAAACTGAAGCGATTTACCAGAATTTCCATTACCAGTCCCCCAGCCCTGCGCGCTGTGCCCCAGAGGCAGGCTCGCAGGATGTCGGTTTCGGAAGGAAGTCTGCTGGAAACAGAAGGAGGAAGAGGAGTGGTGAGGCAGCACTCAGGAAAACCATGAAATGTACTGATTTTTGTATCCTGTCTTTGTGACCTTAAAAATAGTTCTTAAGCAAAGATGGGAGTTTATTTCTGAATCAAAACCAGGCTGCAGTTCGGAAAGAAGCCCTGCAGCTTCTGCTTTCAGCAAGCCAGCTCTTCCTTACTGTACTACAGAGAGCCTGAAAGCTTTGCAGTGCAGCAGTGAGAGGAAAGCAAACCCACCCCTTTCATGCATCATATCAGAGTGGATTAAAGTGTTGGCTCCTAACATGCCTGGAGTCCTGGGAAAATGACATAGCCAGCATCCGATAATCCGCTCCAAACTTGTTGATTTGTGGGACTTAGCAATCGTCTTCATAGGCTCAAAATTTGGCAGTTGCTCCCACACAACTGACATTTTCAGGCCATTAAGTTCTGTGATAAAAGGGCTCTAGCCTTATCTCCTGCCTTCCTTAACATAAACCATTAGGCTTTTATTAACATTTAGGTATGACTCAGGGAAATCTCTGATTGCAGACAGAATATTGAAAATAATTTGGATATTGTCCGAAGAGAATAGCAGGGCATGGATTCAAAGCTGAACAAGGAGAGAAGCTAAAAACCAACGTGGAAATATTCCACAAGCACCATAATAAAACGGGCAGAGTGAGAGATGGTGGCCAGCAGACTCGGTCGCATTATGAAAACAGAAAGCACAAGCCCCCTTCTGTGTCCGGCAGAACCCAGACTCGGCCACAGAATCCCTCCCCAGGCACAGCCTATTCATTGCGGAGCCCTCCCAGTGTTGCCAGCAGTTTGTACACACAATCATGCGTTTATCTGCCAGAGTGTTGCAACCAGAGCTGTCAAAAACAGGCTTTTTAGGATGCCTGGAGGAAAATGTCATCGTTAGAAGAGGACTCCACTGTTAAGGCACTTGAGACGTAAGCGGTCTCTAATTGTAGTGCTGCCGCAAAGGCGGGCATTATCAGAGAGCTCCTCTGACTTCCCATCATGTTTTTTAGGCAACGGGAGGCAAATCAAT